ACCACATACGAAGCCCCAAGCACAATAACTGGTCTCCGATTTCTGGTCCGTGACAAATGCAGCGGAAATCCGGATAAATGACCATATCCGAGAGATCACTTTACCTAACGGCAACACATCCATAATAATGCTATGCAACAGATTTCTCCAGTACTTTGTCTTGTATCAACCCGCCTAATAGAAGTCAATTAACAGCCAATGTATCTCCTTGACAATGTTGCATACTCTAATGTGAAGCCTAAGAAGTTTTACACGTGTGTTGAAGGACGATTCTTCCATTCTTTAACTACTTGCACCACAACGAATGTTTTCATTACTACAAATCCGAACTGGTGGAAAAGGTGACATTTGAAGAGCGAGAAGCACCGGAACTTTGACATTCACCTAGATTAAATGATTGTATGGATACTTACTTATTTCTGAAATCACTGAAGTAAGTTATTGTTGGTCAATAAATCTGCGAACATAAGAATTGCTGTTAAAATAGACGCTTTTCTGACGAAACACTTGGTCTGGTAGATGAGTCAGTCATGTAGACTACTCACAACGCAAACACTGAATATTGCGCCGTTCGATGTGAACAAAGAATTGTGAGCAGAAATGACTTAAACTCAGAACCATGTGTGTGTATTGTAAAGTGATATTTTCCTGCTATTTTCATAACATTTAGACACTTGGTATCCTCCCTCTGTATCATTCAATACTGCTAAAACCCTTTATGTTTCTCTGCAATTATCAATTTGATGAGGCCTATAAACTGGCTTCCCTCATGGTAACTTCATGATTTAAGAATAAAGATACTTATTTCTTTATTTATAATACCTTTGGCCACCCCTCCACAACTCTTTGGGCTCCTTGTCTCCTCCGAGTAAGGCCGTGTTGAACACTTCCTGGTTTAAGATGACTGATAGGAGCCGCGTCCGTGCAATATAAATTATACCTGCATGTAGGTCAGCGCACACTATTCCTAGCTCCGGTGGTTTACCTTTGGGACCCCTCCATACATTATTGTAGAAGCGCATCACCTAGTTTACTAGTTCACTAGTCTGGTAGCAGGCTCTACATCCGGATAAAGAGGGACGGTCGGGCATTGGGCTATCAATCCCACCCTGTAAAACCAACCCAGTGGCTAAAAATAAAAACAAAATTATTCCTCGCTGGAGTCAGGGAGACGAAGTGATGCCGGTTGGTGAAAGACTTCGGGAATCCAACTGGCCGATGTGTATTCTATCAACTCAATAAAAGAAAAAGTGAGCATGGGGTCATGGAATGTACTACTTGAAACTGTTCGAATCTTTGTTGTTTCTCTGCAACTATCAATTTGATGGAGCCTCCCTCGACTTACTGTTAATAAGGTTGCTTATCACTAATTACCGTTCTGTGACCTTTATTGATAAACAGAAATTTCTACAGACAGAAATCGTGGAGAAAAGATGTAACAGCTAATAAAATTTTCTTCCCGACGATTCCATTTACAATTTGTATTTATAAGTTTTCGAAATGAATAAAAGTCTATTATTAATCAATAGGGTGTTATGATTGCTGTAATGTTCAACAGTAGAATAAAATTTTGTTTTTAAAGACAGGTGAGAATCACTACTATGGCTGAGTGCACGAAATATTTCCCGATAGGAAGATCAGGTTTAAGGCTACGAATCACCAGCGACTCGGTTATGCATATATCATGTAGTTGAAGTCGTTTGTAATTGTAAAGAGGCACTGTGTAAATTACTTTGAAGGAACTAATGGTAGAGGTAAGATGTCCTAAGACAATCTTCGAAAAGACGTCTACGGACTTGAAGAGTTGTGGATGCTCACTGCCAAAAAGTCCTATGCTGCGACAAAACAGCTGTCCAATGATCTCACATTTTCAGTGGTTCCTAAAATTATCTCAGTTCATGATTTTTACGAAATTGAAATCAATCAGTCCACACAAACCTTCAAACTTTTAAAGACAGTTGTACAGCTTTCTTAAGTAAAATTATCGAAAAGGAATTTTATTTGCTGTTATTCTGTGACTGAATATGGGAATTACTATTGCATTGTACTTAATGAAATGTATTATTATTCTTAGCAGGTTTCTCATGAGTTTTTCATTAAAACTGAATTTATTGCAATGACTTCAAGTATTATTATTATTATTATTAGTCCCTTGGGTTCCTAGTGGAACATAGGGCTTCAGTAGCACGCCTCCAGTGACCTCTGTTCTCTGAGATCTTTTGAACCTGGTTCCACGACAGCCCAGAAGCTCTCATTTCCTCCTCGCACGACCTCCTCCATGTCACCCTCACCTCGGACGTCCAACTCGTCGCTTCCCATGGGGATTCCACTCGAGTGACTGGCCTGACGCGTGATGTCCTCCGTCGGCCTTCTCAGTGCATGGCCAATCCATCTCCACTTCCTCCTGCATATTTGTTGCGTGATAGGTTCTTGGTTGGTTCGTTCCCAGAGTTCCTTGTTGCTTATTCTTTCTGGCCATCTGATCTTCAGCAGCGAGCGTAAGCAGTTGTTGATGAATGTCTGTAGTTTATTGGAAATCCCTTTCGTAACGCACCAAGTCTCTCAACCATACAGAAGCACTGACTTGTCGTTGGTGTTGAAAATCCGGATCTTGTTCCACATGCTGAGTGCAGAAGATCTCTACACTGGTTTCAGGCTAATGAACGCCTGTCTTGCTTTTCCGATTCTGACTTTGACGTCCTCGTCCGTCCCGCCTGTAGTTGAAACAGTGCTTCCTAGATAAGTGAAGGAGGTTACTTCCTTCAAGTTTCTCCCGTTGACGGTGATTGGAGTTTGTTGTTGTTGTTGTTGATGGTGGTGGTGCGGTATCTTCATCACTTCTGTCTTCTCTATATTCACCTGAAGTCCCGTCTTCGCTGCCTCGCCTCTTCTGTCAACTTGTTAGTTTTTGCCTGCAGATCTTCAAGTTTATGTGACATTAGGCATAAGTCATCGGCGAAATCCAAGTCTTCTAGGTTCTTTTCCGTCGTCCAGTGTATCCCCCTCTTCTCGCTGCCTACTGTTTGCTGCATGATCCAGTCGACCACAATCAGGAATATCATGGGGGATAGTAGGCAACCTTGTTTCACTCCTGTCTTCACTTCAAAGGCATCACTGAGCTTCCCATTGTGGATTACTTGGCATGTGGCATCTTCATATAGTTGTTGAATGAGGCGGATAAAGGTTTGCGGTACTCCGTAGTATTGAAGCAGTTTCCAAATTACTTCTCGGTCGACGCTGTCAAAGGCCTTCTCAAAGTCGATGAAGTTGAGGTGGAGAGGTGATTGCCATTCTATGCTCTGTTCTATGATGATACGAAGCGTTGCAATTTGGTCTGCACATGATTTGTACTTCCTGAAGCCTGCCTGTTCCGGTCGTAGTTTTGAATCCAGTGCATCCCTTAGCCTCTCCAGGATGATGCGGCTTAATATTTACTTGGGGTGGACAGGAGAGTGATTCCGCGCCAGTTCTTGCAAGCACTGAGGTCTCCCTTCTTCGGCAGTTTGACAAGGTAACCCTTCTTCCAATCGTCAGGTACCTTCTCTTCCTTCCACACCTTCTGCAATAGTGGTGTGGTGTGAGCATGTCCGCTGTTGTCTCTGCATCTGTTCTCAGTGCTTCTGGCGGTATTCCATCTGGTCCTGCTGCTTTCCCGCATTTCAGTAGCTTTATGGCGTTCAGGACTTCCATTTTCCTTGGAGTATTTATGTTCACTTGTAGTTCAGCGACGGCAGGTGGTATTTCTGAACGAAGTGCAGGTGGTGGTCGATTCAAGAGCTTCTTGAAGTGGTCGGCCCATCATTTCCTCTGTTTCTCTTCTTTTGTAATTAAATTTCCTTCTTCATCTTTTATTGGTTTCATCTGTGTTGGTCTCTTCCCTGATAGCAACCTGGTTATTGGATACAATGTCCTCAGGTCTCTCTTACCTGCAGCCTGTTCTGCTTCATTTGCCAGTGTTTCGTAGAAGTGTCTTTTGTCTTTCCACCCACTCTTCTTCTTCACTTCTTTGTCCAGTGTTTTATACATTGTGCTCAGTTCCTCTTGTCGTTGAGCGTCCTTGCACTGGTTTATCTTCTGCTTCACCATCCTCCTCTCCCTGCTCTATCAGCTTCCAGGTATCCGTCGAGATCCATTCCTTGTCTTCTTTCTTCTTTCTTCCTAATACTATTGTGCAGGTTTCTTTCCACATAGCTTTCAGAGACTTCCAGTGTTCTTCCACACAGGTTTCTTCAGGGATGTTGCTCGATGTCTCCCATTTTGACTTGATGGCTGACGTGAAGATCTCCTTTGTAGTTTCATCCTTCAGTTTCCGAGTGTTGTACTTGGGTTGAGGTCTGTCACCAGCTTCCTTGAAGGCTTTTAACTTGATTTGGAAGGTTCCTTGCAGTAGACAGTGAGTGGTGTGAACCTACATCTGCTCCTCTTCTTGGCCTTGTGTCAAGTAGACTGCGTCTCCATTTTCTTGAGATTGAGATAAAGTCGATTTGATTTTTAGTGTGTCCATCTGGTGAAATCCATGTCGCTTTGTGGATATCTTTGTGCCTGAACACACTGCCTCCAATCACCAAATCGTTGAATGCGCAGAATTCTGCAAACAATTCTCCATTCTCATTCATTTCACCTAGCGCCTCTCGACCCATGGTTAGTTCTCTTCCCGTGTTGTCCCCTCCCAGTTTGGCATTCATGTCGCCCATCAGAATTTTGATATCGCCAACTGAGGTTTTGTCCAGTGTTGATTGAAGTTGTCTGTAGAAATCCTCCTTTTTCTCTTGCTCTGCATTATTTGTAGGTGCATAACATTGTATGATTGTGACCTTTCTTCCTTTTGAGTTGAATCTTGCTGCCATGATCCTGGAGGAGATTGGTTCCCACTGCATGAGAGCCTTCGATGCTCTTGAGGACATCATGATAGCCACTCCCTCAGTGTGCTCGTGGTTGGCAATGACTTCAATTAACTACTGAATTTTATTTGGTTACAGGTTTTTGCACTGGGTAACAGTATGTATACATATTTTAATGCTTTTGGAATATCAGTCGATCGTTTATTAGTTAAACATGGAGCTAAACGATTTCGAGCAACTTCTTTAGGCGATGAACTAGATGAGTTAGAAAGTGCTTTTGTAGCTTGGAGAGATCAACTGACCTCATCAATGACTAACTTTTTTGATATGGATAATGGCCGAGACTGTTTGAACAAGCAATATGAGGGAATATACTTTTTGAAGCGTACAACTTGGAATCTACCGCTTATTCCCCACTACATTAAATTATTCATAAGCAGGACTTATGTACAGAAAACGTTGTGAGTATTAGTTTTCCACTTTTAATGATTCATATTTCTATGGTTTGAAAGTTAACACCTAATTTAATGAGTTTTCTTTTGACTGCTTTTTCAGTTTAGTTTTCACTAGTTTTCCTCCAAATTTTATCATTAGAATGCATTAGAATGCTATCATCTTTCTTGCCGATTTTTGGTGCTCTTTCCAAAGAATAAACTCAGAGCTCACTGCCGATCTACTGGTTTTCTCCAGGTAGTATATGAATATTTACCACTTTTGTATAGCTTTTCGTAGCATTAAAGACTGTCGTTTCTGTCCCAGGCATAAAGGGCACCGTGTAGATCGTGTTTTGTTTACCATTCGATCCACCATTTTATCATTTGTTTGAGGACATCTTATAATAAATTCAGACAACCAGGGGCCACTCTTCATGGGTAGCCTTTAGGATTTGTCCTGGTGCGAACTTGACAGACGCAAAGACCAATCACTAATTATTCGAACTTGTTATATACCCACGAATACGAGACCAAGGAAGAACACGATAGCGTAGTCGGATGGAATAGTATATTTGGATGGTTATGCCAAAATACCGATGCGTTCCAACTAACTGGCTAGAGAGTCGAATACGAGCAATGCAACGTAACACGACAGCGTGCCAAATGGCGAGGATGCTTGACCGGATGCCTTCAGCTTAGCGAGTCCAGTTAAACTATCAAGGTCAGCATCAATGTCGAAGTCGTCAAACCCTAGGCTATTGATTTTGGGGAAGTGTATGACGCTACAGATCACTCCCCCCCTAGTGGGTTCGTGAGGACCCTAAGACGATACCAGCCGGAAGTAAAAACCCAGTGGTTTCTCCACTGGTAAAACTCTCCGATGGGCTCACTGCGTGAGGTGGCCCCTGGTTGTCTGAACCTTATTCTAGGGTGTCGTGGCGATTAAATAAATAAAATACAATAAATGAAATTGTACGTCGGTCGCGGTCATCTGTTCCTTTCGACGTTCCGTCCAGTGCTCGTTGCACCTGGAATATAAATAAAAGTCTTTAATACCACGAAAACGTTGCGTAAAAATGGGAATTATTTATATATAAACGTGTCGAAAAAAAAAATTTACGCTTATCTTCGCCGTTTTTTTTAGTTTTTATTACATGGTAAATAAAAATTGATATAAAAAGGCAAAGTGTACGAGGGTTTGTGCGCCGGTAAATAAGAAAAATAGTGCCTCGAAAAAAAAAAAAAATGGTTGGCACACACACAGCTAAGTTGAATATGACTTCAGGTACTCTGGGAACCTGACGGTTCGACCTGATCGTGTTTTTTGTTGCGCCGCTGGTTGTTGCAGCTGTGCATTACCAGGCACATCGTCGAGAATTTCGATAATTGAGTCATCCGTCGGTCGGATGTAGCGAGCTGAAACGTCACTTACAATGGGGTTGCCTTCGAAATAAGCTGGTTTCAAACGGTCGATACTGACAGTATCTTCGCGTCCGCCTCGCTCAATTACATAGAATTTCTCATGTCGCTTAATCACTTTGAACGGCCCGTCGTAGGGTGGTTCAAGTGGTCGACGAACAGCGTCGTGGCGAACAAACACGTGTGATGTCTTCTGTAAACTGGGGTGGACGAAAACATCAGTCGTTTGCGGTCTAATCGGAGAAGGCCTAACTGAACGCATTGCGTTTGTAAGCCTAGTCACGTAAGATGCCCTGTCGGAAACATGTTTGAAAGTTGAAGGGGAAACAAACTCACCTGGTAGGCGAAGAGTGGTCCCATAGACGAGTTCTGCAGGAGTGCATCCAGCATCAACTTTCAACGCGTTACGAATACCTAGTAGGACTAGAGGCAGAGCCTCGGTCCACTGAGGTATGTTTGTAGCTGAAAGGGAAGCTTTCAGCTGTCGATGGAAACGCTCTACCATGCCATTTGCTTGTGGATGGTAGGCTGTCGTTCGGAACCGAGTGCAACCTAAAAGTGCCGTTAGAGCGTGAAATAGTCCGCACTCAAATTGGCGCCCACGGTCGGTTGTGACGTAGGATGGACATCCGAAGTTCGCGATCCATCTTTCGACGAAAACACGAGCAACTGTTTCGGCAGTAATATCTTTAATGGGTACTGCTTCCGGCCATCGTGTGAAACGATCAACACAGGTGAAAAGGTAGGTACATCCATTAGATTCTGGTAGGGGTCCTACAATATCTATATGGACGTGGTCGAAACGCATGTCTGGGGCTAGAAATGAGCCTAAAGGGCTTTTCGTGTGTCGCGTGACTTTACACTTTTGACAAGCTAAGCACGACTGGGCCCACTCCTTAACGTCTTTGTTCATCCCAGGCCAGCAGAAACGTTGTGCGATAAGCCTAATGGTGGCTCGTACACCTGGATGAGAGAGTTTGTGCAACGTATTGAAGACGTTGCGTCGACAACTCTTCGGAACTATTGGGCGTGGTTGACTAGCAGAGACATCGCACAAAATTGCATCCTTGTCTGATCCAACAGGACAAAGTCGCAGTTTGAGAGTTGTGGACGACAACTCATGATGCAGCTCAAGGTCTTCCTTTTGACGCCGAGCTAGTTCAACGAGATCAATACCCTCGATATAGTTTATCGAAGCTATTCGAGATAGTGCGTCGGCTGCGGAGTTGTTTGCTCCAGAAATGTGGCGGATGTCTGACGTGAACTGGGAAATGTAATCCAGCTGTCGCGACTCACGAGGGGAGTATTTGTCAGACGCCGAGCTGAGGGAAAACGTTAACGGTTTGTGGTCTGTGAAAATAATGAAATCACGACCTTCCACAGAATGTCGAAAATGGCGTACAGAACAGTACATGGCTAGGAGTTCCCTACCAAATGTACTGTATCTTGTTTCCGCGTCTTGCAGCCGCCTCGAGAAAAAGGCTAACGGTTGCCACTGGTTGTCAGTCAACTGTTGCAAAACTGCTCCAATTGCTGAATCAGATGCATCAACAGCAATACTCAGAGGAGCATTGGGGTCATGATGCATAAGCATGGTTGCGTTCGAAATGGCTTCCTTGACTTTGGAGAAAGCAAGTCTAGCCGCGTTGTCCAGAGACACGAACTTCGCAGTTCCTCGAAGTAGATCTGTGAGTGGTCTCATGACAGAGGCACAGTTAGGGATAAACCTTCGGTAATAACTTACCAGGCCATTGAAAGTGCGGAGATGTTTCACAGTGGTCGGCTCTGGATAGTTTGTGATAGCCGCCACTTTATCTCTCAATGGGCGTATACCTTTGTTGTCAATGGTATGCCCAAGGAAGCTGAGTGATTCAACTCCTATTTCACACTTCTGTAAGTTAACTGTGATGCCATGTTTTTTGAGTCTTTCGAATGCGAGGTCCAAATGTTTAAGGTGTGTTTCCTTATCTGGACTCGCAATTAGACAGTCATCTATGTAGACATGAACAAAATTCAGACCACGGAAGACGTCGTCCATAAAGCGTTGGAATGTTTGTGCTGCATTCCGAAGACCAAAAGGCATGCGCAGGAATTCAAACAGGCCAAAAGGAGTAATAATGGCTGTTTTCGCGATATCTTCTGCTGCCATAGGTATCTGGTTGTACGCTTTGACTAAGTCGATTTTCGAGAAAATGTTCATGCCGCATAAGGTTGCGGTCAAGTCGTAAACGTGGGGTATAGGGTAGCAGTCCGGAGTTGTTTTGGCGTTAAGCCTTCGGTAATCACCGGTCGGACGCCAGTCGTTGCTATCCTTTTTGGGCACCATGTGCAATGGCGATGCCCAAGGACTGTTCGACGGTCTGATAATGCCCAGTTCCAGCATATGGTCGAATTCATTTTTCGCCGTTTGCAGCTTATCGGGGGCTAAACGGCGAGCTTTGGATGCCACAGGTGGACCTGTGGTTGTGACGTGATGCATAACATTGCTGGTTATGCACGGAAGAGTGTGTTTCGGTTGTTGTAACTCTGGATATTTCTCCAGAACTGCCTGGTAGGACGCGTCGCCTGATTGTTTAGTCCTAACGATGGCTAAACTCGGACCTACATAGGTGGTGCCGCCAATAGATAACTTTGTGTTGTTATCTATCAGTCGTCGACGGCGAGCATCTACGAGTAGATCGTAATGGTTCAGCAAATCTATGCCAATGATGGGCATAGAGACGTCTGCCAGGAGGAAATCCAGTGAATAGGTTTGCGTAAACCTAAGTTGAGGTAGGCATACCGTCTCCCGAATGTCGCGATTGCCTTGCCGTTGGCTGCTTGAAGATTGAAGGATGGGTCGAGATGACGCTCCTTTGTCGTTGCTGGAAGAACGCTAACTTCTGCGCCGGTGTCGACGAGGTAGCGGACTTTCGTTTTAATGTCGGTGACGTAGAGCAAACGGCTTTTTCCGCCGGCTACGGTTGCCGTGAGCACGTGCCGGCGTGACCGTTTCCCGAGTTTGTGTCCTTCTTAAAACGGCATGGTTTACGACATTTTCTGGCTTCATCCCCGTAAGTGTTATGAAACCAGCACCATTCAGGGTTTTCCACCCTGTTGGGTTTCGTTTTAGGGCTACCACGCGACTTGCTGCGATGCGCCAAGGTGCGTTTCTGTGAAGTGCTACGTGATCTAGGACTTCGAGATCGTAGCAACCGTTTCACAGAGTTGCACAACTTGGTCACCTCCGAATCCTGGCGCTCTGTTTTGTCACAGATAGAATATACGTTGGAGACGGGTCTGCTGGATATCTCCAGTATTTTATCTGCTGAGGCTGCCAGGTCGTCGAGTGGGACTGACTGGAGTGTCACCAACACGGTTTGCACCGGTTGTGGTAGTTTCGAGAGAAATAGTTCTCGGAAGAAACCATCGTCAAATGTTCGTGCACCGATTACTTCTCGCATGCGTGCGAGGACTTCAGTAGCTGAGTGGCTGCCTAGCTCGATGTTACGAAGCAATTCGTCTAGACGTTGGCGATCTGTGAGATCGCTTTTCTTCAAGAGTGCGGCCTTTAGAAGTGCATAAGGGTCACTTACTTCAGGATTAAACATGTTTGCTGTAACAAACCTGTTTAATTCTCGCGGTAGTGAACGTATGACAGCAAGAAATCGAGATGAGGATCTGAGACACCCTGTTCTCGAAAATCGGCCTCGGCATACAGAAACCATGTTTCTGCATTGTCTGGCCAATATGGCACGAGTTGGATCGTGTTCGAGGTCGGCTTAATACGAATAAGCTTGGGAGTGTGGTCGGACATGAGAAAGTGTAGTAAATGGATATATAAATGTTATCGAAATGAAAACAATAAACAAATATAAAATGGAACAGGCTCACCAATTCAATACTTGTTATTGGTCGGGATATGTGATCACGTCGGGATATTTGATCACGTCGGGCTCACCAATTTAGGATTTGTCCTGGTGCGAACTTGACAGACGCAAAGACCAATCACTAATTATTCGAACTTGTTATATACCCACGAATACGAGACCAAGGAAGAACACGATAGCGTAGTCGGATGGAATAGTATATTTGGATGGTTATGCCAAAATACCGATGCGTTCCAACTAACTGGCTAGAGAGTCGAATACGAGCAATGCAACGTAACACGACAGCGTGCCAAATGGCGAGGATGCTTGACCGGGTGCCTTCAGCTTAGCGAGTCCAGTTAAACTATCAAGGTCAGCATCAATGTCGAAGTCGTCAAACCCTAGGCTATTGATTTTGGGGAAGTGTATGACGCTACAAGCCTATCGGGAGGGCTATGCTCGCAGAGAAACCACCGAGTTATACTTCCGACCGTTATGGCCATCAGATTCTCATGAACCCCCGAGGTGAGAATGAATAGCCGCTGCAAATGATCCCTAAAAATCAATTACCTAGGGTTTGACAAAATTCACGATTGTGTTGATCTCCGTAGTATTAACGGACTCGCTTAGGATATGGTCACACATCTTCACCGTTTGGCACGTTGCCGTGTTATGCTATGTTGTTTGCGTACGATTCTGTAGCCACTTAGCTGGAACCCATCGATCTTTAGGAGCGGTCAATAAAATATACTATTCCACCTGACTACTGTGTTCTGTGTTCTGCGTTGGCCTCGCACCAGTGGGTTTGTGGCACAGACGAACAACTGGTGGTTGACTTGTGCGTCTGTCAATTTCACGTAAGATCAATTCTTATAAATATATTCACCGAAGTAAGTAATTCAAAAGCTGGGACAAGTTAACAGTCATTCCGAAGCGGGTAACACAAACGTAACTTTGCAATTTTCAAGCCAAATGAGTAAATAAAAGAGAAAAAATCCTGCGAGAGGTTATTGTACAAAAAGCTCCTTGCAAAAGTCTTGTTTGATTTCTTAACAATTGAAATGGCGTGAATTTGGTTCTGCCCTTGAACGCTGCTCATTGCATTCCATTTACATATGGTAAAAGGGAGTTACTTCTTATTACTCATGATACTTGTGTAGTCCTGATCAGGTTTACACTTTCATGTGGTGAGATGGAAAGTGCTGAAGTAGTTTTATGTTATTTCAAAGAAAACTGGAGTAGCCTAACAATTTTTAGTGCATTTAAATACAGTATAGGTTACCTATTTTGGCATATATGATGTAAATCGTGGTGGTGCATGGAATACCCGGACTGGCGGGTGGATCTACAAAGTGTGATAATTACCTCCATGATGTTGAGCAGTGGAGGTGGTTAACGGTGAAAACAGGACTGGGAAATTTGTCAGCCAGCAGCGTAAGTAGGTTACCAAGACCTACGCGCCATTTGTATATTAAATCACTCAACTATGATGATAAAAAACCCAGATCGCAGGCCCCTAATCATATGACGAGGTCTGCAGGCGAACAGAATCTAGTCTATCTAGTCTAGTCTAGTGCAGAAAAGATGGGCGCAGCCCAGCAGGGACTGGCAGTCAGAATTCGATGCAACGGCACACCAGCCTCCAAACAAGTCCCCATATCGCACTGATCCTAGAACGTAGCTTCTTGATATGCTTCTACAGTAATGTAAGATGTCTTCGGAGTAAACTACTGGAGCTAAAAACAATGTGCCATAATATGCCAGCAGACATAATTCTCATCACGGAGACATGGTTGTCACCAGACGTCGCGGATAAGGAAATATCTTTACCTAACATGAACCTGTACCGAAAGGATAGGCGGTTCAATGAAGGCGGAGGAGTTGCCATGTATATTAGCACTTATCTAAAAGTCAAGGAAGCAACTGATGGTGTGTTCAGCTTGCTACCAGACTCCTTATGGTTCCATTTCACCATAAACCGAACAAAGTATCTATTAGGAGTGGTATATAGGCCTCCCATTTTCACGGCAGAGCATAAGGTACAATTGCTCAGTGCCATTTCAATAACCACCTCGGCAGCCTATGACCGTCTAGTTCTTGCTTGAGACTTCAACACTCTGCGCTCAACCCGGGATGTGAGGTAATATGTGGGCATAAATCTTTCGAACACAAACTTCGAAATACGTTTATGACGGTAGGACCGGTAGAGAAGGTTGAAGAAAACACCAGATAGAAAAAGATAACCACTCGACTACGTTCTAACAGACGACAATCTTTTGGCCGACCTTATCTGTGTTCAACCCTCGCCCCCCCTAGGTAAAAGTAACCATGCCTCGATGAGATTCTCTCTGATGACCAAGGAGACACTACCAACAGTTGAGCCGAAGGCGTCCCGCTTTTACCGGGAAGCAGACTACCATCTCATGAACAGCGAAATCCTGGAGGCTGCATGGCCACAAGAATAGCACTCACTATCGATAGACGAACACTGGATATATATCAAAGCTTTTATCTGGAGCGCTATTGATAAGTGTTCCAAAATTAACTAGACGGCCACCTCTCAAACGGTCTTGGATAACTCGCACAACCCAAAGGCAAATACAGGAAAAAAAGGTATGGTATCGGTGGCGTACATCACGCAAAGAATCAGACTTTCATAGCTACAAGACGTTACGGAACTTGTGTAATATAAGAATCCGTAATGACAGGTATACATACTAGAGCAACCTGGCTAAACAGTTAAATCGCAATCCGGAAAGTCTGTATCGGTTTATGTCATAACGCAAAACAACGAATAAGGGCTTAAACCTGATCACAGGGCCGGCCAGAGAACCTTTGAACAGCAGTGAGATAGCGGAACTATTGAGCAGTCGATTTGACGAGCAACTGAACCCAGTAATACATCTACTATCAATATCTACTAATGTAACGAAGTCGTAGAACTGCGATACAGAGTTAATGAACGTTAAGATATCGTCAAACCAAGTGCTTGCGAAACTTTCAACAGAATAGGGAAATGTCCGGGCCGTGATGACATAAGACCGGTTGTCCTACGCAACTGTGTTGAAGTCCTAAGCATACCCGTATCCAACCTGTCCACGCACTCACTGGAAGTAAGTCAACTCCCCAAAGAATGGAAACGCGTCATTCTTTCACCAGTCTCCAAGGGAGGAGACCGTAAAAACCCGTGTAACCACAGACCAATAGCATTACTCCCCATACTTTCCAAAGTACTGGGAAGCTTGGTTGCAGATGTCGTTTGGGACTATCTTAACAGAAACAGCATCGTCCACTCCACCTAGCATGGTTTCAGACCTGAGCGGTCATGTGCCACAAACTTGATAACCACTTGGGATGACTGGACCACCAGATGGAACAATAAACAAACAGTTCACGTTATCCTCTTGGACTTGGACAAAGCTTTCGGTAGCGTCCCACACTATGCTCGCCATACTCGCAAAAGTTGGTATCACTGAACCACTCTTGGCATGGTTTACGGCCTACCTAGGGGACAGAGAATTCTGCCCAAAAGTAAACAGAATTCGATCAACCTGAAGGAATGCAAGAACAGGAGTTTCTCAAGGAGCGATCCTTGGATCACTCCTATTTTTACTACTCATAAATGACCTCCCCACTAAAATCTCATCTGTCCCCCTATAAGCCGACGACATCAAAATATGGAGGACGATAGGTGACGAAGAGGATCCCAGGATACTTCAAAACGACCTGTTGCAGCTGGAGTCCTGGTCAGCTGCAAACGGTTTAAGCTTCAACCTTCAGAAAGACAAGGTGATGTATCTTCGCACACCAGAAGCGATAAAAATCAGCCACACTCTTAACAAGTATGCAATCACCAAGGTATCCACAGAGAAAGACCTAGGACTAAACTTTTCTAACACACTGAATACTACTGGTATTTATAAGGGAATGGCAGCAAAGGCGGACGTCATTATGCACTTTCTCAGAAGGCATCTTGGATTGCTAACCCCAGAATTATTCCTTATAGTATTTAAAACCTGTGTTAGACCACACCTAGAGGTGTTCAACACGATAACCCCCCACTACTAAAGAGAGACGCAAATACCTTCGAGAAAGTACAAAGAAGGGCAACAAAGTCGGTTGTAGAACTAACAGGCAAAACATGCGCAACGCCTCAGACAACTCAACTTGTTCACACTAAGTTATCGAAGAAAACGGGGTGGTCTGATAACAGCCTACAGGATCATTCACCAAGTAGACCACTTAAATATGACCATGTTATCGGTCCAAAACCGACAGTCCCATGGGAACCCCACTCGCATACCCCACCATAGGGCAAAGACGAAAGTGAGATCCAACTTCATCTCCCACAGAGTATGTGCCTTATGGGACGCTCTGTTAAAGGAAGTGGCCACAGCTATATCAGTCGACTCCTTCAAACAACTGGATGAGTATGTGAGCGCAAATGGCTTACCACTTGACAACCTTGTACATATCCGTGCAGTAGGCGATGAACCACACCCGATTTTTGAGGGCTAATATTACTGCCTGCCTGCCCAAACCTCGGTAGGTGTAGCTGGGTTCCAACCCGTGACCCGTCGTTTGGAAACCAAGTGTTCAGAGCAAAGGGCCATGGATCCGTAGTCATATATATATATATATATATATATATATATATATATATATATATATATATATATATATATATATATGTTTAACCATGTCTACCACACAGTCGTGGACCTTAGACTGCTATGCGATATCCAAGCATGATGTGGCAGCTAAGCTGCATACTTGAAGGTAATTTTGCCGGTGGTGCAACCATACATTTTCGTTAAAACATCGAACTTGGATACTTAATATATCTGAATTATTTCATAGCTTCAACTCAGTCCCTAAGTTGCTTAGGTCAGCTTGTCTTTTAATCATGAATTGATAAACTATCTGGAACTCTGTAGGAGATATAGGATCCTTAATAGTATGATAGCCGTAAAGTGTTTCTGATCAAAGAGACTTCCTCATGAACTTTAACGATTGCTTTATTTCATCGTGTTGCTTATTTGTATTTAAATTCTAATTGTTTAACTTTTGTGTAAGTATGATATCTTACACGTCCTATACCTTTCGAAACAAATATCGCTGATGATGAAATCTGTTTGGACCTAGCTACTAAATCTTTAAACCGAAAGCTGCACATTTAACGAAGTTAACTACTGGTTGAATACAGTTAGACTGAAACCTAGTCAGCAGTTACGTTTAGTAACTTTCAGTAAAAATTCGCAGTGGTGATCAAAAAGCCAATTGGAAAACCTCAATTTTCACTCATCCTCCTTGTTCGTATATTACCATTATCTTGGCAATCCAGGTTGTTTCGGGTAGTGTTAATTCATAAGCAGAAATAAACTCATTCTGTTAGAAGGAAGGAGTGGCTGTTGTTCTAACATCTAGTGATTTGATCATCGTTAGTAGCTCAGCCTGTTAGTCCTTACATCAGGTTACTAGTTCACATTTTGAAATGGTCATTTATAATAATTTATAATACCAGCATCCGTCACTATACCATATACTCTGTGGTTGCATCAAACCGTTTAGGCTTTTATTAGCTAGCAATAACTTCAAGCATAAAGAGAGACACTGACTCACGTGGCGTCAATCGATATTGACCGACGATGGATGCAGATAGATCACATTGCTACAAGTCATCGTTGGAGAGAATCGACTGAGGATTGCCACGCATTCTAGAGTACCTGTACAGATTCCGACCAAGCGTTAGTATGTCTGTGCTTTACTTGTCTCATAAAACAGGTGGCAGTTAAGCCTGTGGGCTAGATTGGAAGACGACAACATGAAGTAAGTATTTCGCGGCGGGGGGGGGGGTACAGCTAAGTATTTATCTGAAAATGACATGAATCCCCATCCTGAGGGAAACTGCTTCCGAGATAGCAGTGAAGACAGTTGGGAACCTACATCCAGAGGTTTACAAACGTCAATGAATTTCTGTGACATCATGCAAGCTGACTGATGCATGAAGACTCATTCCAACTACCTCTGATGACACTGAGGAGCAAAAGCAACTTGAACGTAGGTTGATCAAGAGTCTTCTCAATGATCGCGAGGAGTGGTGGGTGGTGAAGGCGAGGGAAATGGAGAAGGCATCAGTATTGGGTAATACTGGACAACTATTTAGACCTATTAAAGATACTGACAGGAACTTGATGGTGAGTGAGAACATCACCGAGAACGATGAGATGCTGATAACCCCTTAAAACAGGCGGCTAGGATATTGGGCGTAATCCTTTGAAGACCAGTTCAACTGGCCCACAGCAAAGCCTCAGTTACGCAACATCTAACCTGAACTTGAATGGAACGTGGATGTCGGTCCTTCAACTCTTATTGCTGTTAGGAAAGCTGTGTCGAAACTGATACGATGCAACGCAGTAGAATTCAACGGTTTACTACCCGGAGATTTTAAGGATGGAGGTAGGAAGTTACTGATCAGAGTAATGGAGATGCTGGGTAGTGTATAGGAATCAGAGGTAGTTCCATCAAACTGGTCCACTTCACCGGTCACTCCAGTCCATAAGAAGTCAGAGAATTCTTCTTGTGACAACCATAGGGGAATTAATTTGACTAATATCATATCCAAGATCATAGGGTTCATGATTTTCCGACGCCTAACTTGGGCTCGAAAACAGCAAACTCGAGAAAACCAGGCAGGTTTCAGATCTGAACGAGGCTATGTCGATCAGATTTCCACTCTTCTACAGGTTCCGAGACACACATATCTGGTGGTCGATACCTGCCATATATATGTTGACCTGTGGGTGGCATTCAACCCTGTCAACCGTTAGGTGTTGTAGCAGTATCTGATTGTGAAGGGAGTATCGAGCAAGTTTGCAATGCTAATCAGAGCTCTCTACTCGAATTCACGCAGCCGTGTAAGAGGTTATGGAGAGTCGTCATGTGGATTGACGGGAATCAGGGATGTCCACCAGTGATATCCACTATCGCGGTTCCTGTTTAGTTTATTTATAGATGTATTAGTGGACATACTTTTATGTACGTCTGACTTCCCAGGGATTAACCTACTTCCGGAAGGTCGTCTCGTTGAGTCGGAGTATGCAGACAATATTGTCCAGCTACGTGAAGATGCTGACAAAATGCAGGGTCTTCAGGATGCGTTGAGCAGGAATTTGAGTATGTTTGGCTTGCGTTTCGCGCCTGACAAGTGTAAGGTGATGCTTCAGCACTGGTCTGCAACTGCTTCCAGTTTAAGGATAGAAAGTGAAGAGGTGGAATGTGTCGACCTCAGCTCGAACGGACTGGTTGCTGAAGAAGTCTCAGTTCTGATAGCGAAGGCCCGTTCGGTATTTGCCATCTTGTTTCACCTCTGACGCCAATTGGTGAGATATGTGACCACCTATTAAAGGTTGGGTTTAGTGAGCTGCAGTTCGTCCTGTCTTGTTATAAGGCTGAAACATGACCGTTGAAAGTGTAAGATGTTATGTGGTTACAGGGTTTTGACCACAGGTGTCTTCTTAGCATTGCTTGTGGGTGGTGGAATCACCGTGTGAGCAATATTGAGTGAAGGTAAAGGGTACTAGGGGGAGTTACTATGCGAGACGGACTAGTACTAGAGGTACTTGGTGATGCTGCTGGGGGATTACTAATCAGGGTAAATGAAGTATTAACTTCTGTACGATAGTTCGATATGATGCTCTTTAACTAGTCTCAGTTACCGGTTGTCGCAGTCTGCAATAAAGTTAAGAAGTCCACTTGTGCCTACCACAGAGGACTCGACCTGACCAACATTGTTTCTAAGATTCTAGAATGCTTAGTTATCAGAAGTCTGATTGTAGCTCAAGCAAGCTCAAACAAGTTCCAGATCTGACCGTGGGTGTGTACTGACTAGATACTAACTCCGTCAGGTTTTGGAGCACAGGCCCGTTACTGACTGTTTCTTTTGAGTAGAGTACTCAACTCCGTCGATCAAGAGGTGGTATGACAGTAACTCACTCAGGGGGGTGTTGGAATAGTACACAACTCTGTAGAAGGCTGTGTACTCGAATACCCCTGGGCGTGTGAGAGGCTGTGTTGAGTAGTGATGTATATCAAGAATGTTCACTCTCTTCATTCTTATTTAATTTTGTCATAGACGTATTTATGCAGCCCTCCTTTCATAGTCTCACTACCGGGTTCGATCTTGTCACGCGAGACTTCTTAGTACTCTTCGAGTACGATTACAGTAATGACGGGATAAGATGCTGTCTTCTGGACACCTTCAGTTACAATTCAACAATGTTTGTGATGCATTTATAATCACCCAAACGCCATTTGTCGCCCCAGAACTGGTCTTCGCTATTGCCTTGTCTAACAGTAGGTAGTGAAGTAGTTGAACAGTGACCGTTTCACTTACCTTGAAAACCGGATTGGTCTGTGAGTTAGTGGACGACAAAATGTCGGCACGGATGCAAAAGGCTTGTTTGACCGTTGTCAACTTACGCCATTTATGGCGGTGCCGTGATATCCGACTGCCTACTAAGGGCTGATATGACTGCGCTGCAATTCACTCTGTTCTGCTATACGGCTATGAAATATGGCCATTAAAGGCAGAGAACGAGAAGGCTTCAGGTATTCGATCACCGTCTCCTTCGTAACATAGTTCGGGTTGTGGAACTGGCACTTCAGTAACGCAAAAATCAGGAGTTAAATATCACGTAAAAGAGGAAAGTTAGTCGACGAGCTTGGGAACCTCCGTCAACTCAAGTGACCAGAACTTGTTACGCTTGCCTAGTCACTGTCTGCCCCAGAGCACAGTGTTGGCTGGAGAAGGTTCATATTAGATAAAGGTCAAAGGCTGCCGGACTAAAACATGGATCACACCATGAAGTCTCACTTTTCTTCAACCGTGTAGGAAAAGGTAGACTTTCCCATTGAGGTCTGCGCCATCACAGAAGCCGGTGGTTAGAGACTTGTTGACATGGCTTGGGATCGATCTCAGTGGCGGTGTATCCACACATGATCCTCATCTTATTCGTCATACTGAATTTAGTAGTTTTTCATTCCTATGTCTCTTTCTACTACTTTCAACTACTTTCTCCGTTATCTTTCATCCTTAGTGCTTCTTCGCTTGATGTGCTGGCAAAGTGGACTATTACGCGGTAAAGCTAGGTCCTGTGTTAATTTTGTCTTGCACTGTAAATTGAAACTTATTTCCCAATACTGTTAGGCATTTATGTTCTGTTATGTCAATATTTCACTACATCTAGTCGAAGAAAAAGGGTCTGAGTCTTGACGAGAAGCGGCAAAGGATGTTGGATTTCTTTTATGAGAAGGTGAGTAAGTACATCTGGCATATACTTTCCAACGCAGAAAGATTTTTTCCAGCTCAAAGAATTGGAGAGGCTTTGTCAGAAGGAAAAAGGGATCAACTCTATGTCCGTAAAGGATGTATTGATGAGCCTAGTTCACGATGATTTAGTTGATACCGACAAAATAGGGACTAGTGTATACTTTTGGGCATTTCCCAGCAAAGCTGCACAGAAAGTAATTCATATTTAAGTGTCGATTACGCTTCATAACTAGCTTAAAGCCAAAGTCGAAAAACTAAAGGAGGATATACAAACCACACGCAACCAAATCTCTAAGACAATGAAGGTGTTGGATGAAGCCTCAAGTAAAAGAGAAGACACAGTAAGCATTCAAACTATTAAGAATTCAAACTTAATGTAGGAAGAAAGAAAACAAGTTATTAACGAACTCATCGAAAAGAAAAGTTCACTTGATTCTTTAAATATAGAGCTTCAAGATTTAAAAACGTATGATCCTGATCGTCTACAGGAGTTAAAACAACAACAGCTTATTGCATTTGATTCTGCTAATCGTTGGACAGGTCAGTACACATTAACAATTCACTGTCCAATAATAACTTAATGAAATAATACAAACATCTTATTGTAAATATGAAGTTATGGTCGGTTAAATATGTAGTATGGCTCGATTCTCAAAAAGTTCGCTCTCATCAGGATTACTGGTATTATTGACGGCAACTGCGCACGTTATTTAATCTTATTTTTACAGCGTCAGTGAACGAATGCTGCAAAGCCACAGAGACAATAGACGTAGTCTGTTTTAAAAAAGTTAATTCAAATGCTTTTTACGTAAAACATTTTTTTAAAGCTTAATCCATAAGAATACACAATAAAAATAGTCCTTGTTTGGATTAGTTGTGGAAAAAATGTTAATTTGTGATAAGCTGTTAAAATTGCTTCGTGCTCAAAGATTATTGGCTAACTAGACTTTGTGTAACAATGTAACTGGAAGCAAATAATCGCAACTCATCCGTTACAGTTTGGTATCCTGCGTAGTAATTCTAACCTATGCAGATAATAACTGTACCACCCGGTTACTTAAAGTAAACCTGCATTCATTTCTTTCCAATTGAGTGACTAGGTCATGACATTTTGTATTTCAGTGTGGTAGTGTGAACATAAGTCACAGATTTTGACATCTGTTCATACTAAGATGAAGTCAGCTATTTATAAACATTTATTGATAGAAGAACTAGATATAATCTTTAACTTAAGGCTTCTATGTGCATCTTTATGTATTCACGACAATGAGATCTGTGTTGTAAGGTGTAGCCAGTTTACTTACAGAAAAACCTTTTGCAACATACCCACTCCGAAACAACTAAAGATTTCAGATAGTGGTGTTAATTAGCTACAAATTACTCATTTTTAGAACGTTACTATGCACCGTCTGTGTTGTTTTTGTAATAGATAACATATTTGTGATCAAATCATGGCTGGAGAACAAATTTTCTCTGGATGAATCAACGTTTTGTCGCCAGTTCGATATACCTGAAAACTTCGACTACCTCTCTTAAATACTTTGTGAAACTTTGAAGTTCTTAGTAAAAGTATATTTGTTCTATGTTTATGATGCATTTATGTAAGAGAAAAAACGATGTTCTTTTCATAATTTGACTTTTTCGTCGCTTATATCCTACAAGCCGGGTAACGCGTTTCACCGTAACATCAACTATGCGAAAAGACCAAGGTGTTGGCAGCTACTCTAACTATTCTGTTATAACCTGACGGTTTTTATGGCCGAACTGTAAACTTATGGATTGAAAACTCAGTTTACATTCCTGTGAGAATTAGAGATAAGTATCCTTGCATATTATCCAATAGGTGTGACTTGCGGCTGTATCCACAAACTTATAAGTTGGTGATTTCTCTTACGGTTATCAAACCCAGTTGTCTCTGAATTTTATGAGATGTTAGGCACATATTTTGTTTATATTGGTGGGTGTTTTTCCATGCGCAGCCGATAGTGTCAATGAGTACGTGAAATGCAACGGAAATCCCGAGCACATGGGAGTATTTCTTAGTCTGATTAGCCTTTGAATACCATTCGCAGACTAACCTGGTAGACAGAAAACCCTCCACTGTCTTCATATAACCTGTCACCAGTGTTTTTGAGTCGGTAGTACAATACTATTCACCAATCTGTTTCGCTCACATTATGAGGGTAAAAATGAAACTATACTATTCATGATTTACAACTTGTTTTCTCCTCACTGCTAAAGGTCGCCAACGACTAGCCACTTTTTGGCTCTAGTGAATCACATTTTGGTAAATTGGTTACTAATAGGACAACGAAATCAGTTTCGACGAGGCTTAAGAACTCGTTATCCACTTGATATATATTCAACTTACTGCCCAGTAGACGCATTGTAGCCGTCAGTGAAATGACGCAAATATAAGGTGAAATAGTATCTCACAATTTTGACATTCTTTTTGAGATACGTGAGCGACAAATAGGAAAGTATCTAGTCACTCAGGCCTTCAATGAGTCTGTAAATGTCAATTAAAGTGATTAGGTAGTCAGACAAAGAAAGTCAACAAAGTAAAATATATTTCACAAACCATTTCTGGAATTCCAGGTTGATCTCTTAGAAAATTTTCAAAGTGCAAGCGGTGACTTCAATATAGAAAGTAACTAACCGAAAATTCTCAACAAGGATACAAGTTTACTGCGTATGGACATCTTAGGAGATATTATAACCTGACAGAGAAACCTCCTCATTATTGCCAAGCTGTATCTCGTTTGGTATCATGAACAAAGCAATGGAAACTTCCAGCTGTAGAGTAAAACAGAAGTCTTTTTTAAGGGTCACCAGTACCATAAAACAAGTGCGTGAGGTCTACTGACAAGCTTTTCATGTCGGAGATGCAAAACGTTTGACGCACATAATATTGCCTCACGACAATTATTTAAAACAACATCGAAGGTGAACTGTAGCAGTGGGGTGGTCAGGCGCAAAGGGCTTCATTCTGTAGTTCCAACTTACGTTACTCGAGTCGCCTGCAGAATGGATTAGCTCTAGTATGTTGATATCTTCAAAATGCACTTTACAACTTTTAAAGAAAGACAGACTGAGTATTACCACTTAGATGAAGACAGACATCAAAAGATAATTTGGAGAATAATTGCAACGACTCAACTTGCCACATTTCACAGCAGCATGTGAGGGCGACGATAGGAAATGTGTTGTTCCAGTAGATAAAAGTGTGTCAGGATAGAAAAAATGAACATGTAGCTTAATGACAATGCTCAAGACGACGAAGCATGAATGCAACTGCGACATTAAGGGACTTAAATTAATCTCACCAAGTCCACAACAAATGATTCCTACTATAATGAGAAGCCAAACTGTTAAGATCTCACATGGTGCACGCCAGTAGTGAAAGAGGTGATGGTCTAGTGCCTCGTCTTGATTTGACTATTCTTAGTGTTTTTCCATTCCAGTTCTTTTCCAACTGACGTATCAAGTCGAGGTAGACGGTAGGTCTGCACGTACCACACTCTTCCAAGGCATCTCAGTAGCTGAAGGTCCACAACTTTATCGACTGACTTGGCATTCTTGCGCAACAGCTTACACCTAATTTTGTCATTACGCACGCACCGATTCCACGACACGTGAGGAATGCTACAGAGACACAATCGAAAACTTCTGACCTCTTCATGACTTCAGCTGCTAACAGTGGTGTCTCACAACCATACAGTAAGACGGTAGACTGGTGTACAATATGCTCGCCCTTCGATATGTCACTAGATATTCCGCAGGCACCTTAATGATTCTAAATGGTCATGGGGTATTAGCTTATGCTGATACCTTCCCCATCTCTTTCGACTTGCCACTCACCAATGCTCATGGTCGTTCTGATATCTCTTAGTTGATTTCCGTCTAAGCTTTTGCTCCTCATTGTGGTCAGAGTTAGTAGGAACGACTCTTCATGCATCAATCAGTTGCTGAGGTTTAGTTGTTTCTGCTAATATTTTGTGGTAGGCTACTTACTGCTTTTAACAGCTGTTTCCACAGTAGACTGAATGTCATACCAGACTCAATCAGGCAAAGGATTTTTGCAACTTTCATATAAGTGCTATCGCCTGCCTAAACATACATTTCGCATTCTCATCTTCCAGTCGAGTACACGCAAACTTCGTTGTTGTCTGTTTCCGATATCCAACAAGGTGGAAACACGCAAGCTATAACAACGTAGACATTTCAGAAAGAGCAGCATTCCTCTAACGATAGCATATAAGAATGTGGTCTTTCCAGCTTCCCACACCGTGAAAGTTGTTTCTGTAAGGTACCTGAAGAAAACAGGTCAGAAGTGTTGCCTGATTGCAGAACCTAAGGAACACCTGAAGGAAGGCGGTCACGCAACAGTTTTGCCTTGAGGTTTGATTCATTTAACCCGCATACCGTTTTTTTAGTGTTTCACTGTAGCAGTAGAAATGTGTAGCATCTAGGCATGCAGTAATTTTGTGGAGATGCGGCTCGATGGTTTATTAAGTAGTTGACTTCTAACCAGTAGGCCACGGGTTTGAACCCTGCCGCACTTGCGGGCTTCGGGAGCCAGGTAGCACCATTAGCACACACAATGTGTGGCTCATCGACTAGTGCATTAGTAAGCACGTGGTTGTTCAGAGCTCAGTTATGCAGTAAGCCTATTCCTCTACTGAGAGTCCACCAACTGACATGTGTTATAAATCAGCGCTAGAAAATTCTACCTTATACCGATCGGCTGCGTCAAGAGTGCTAACTGGATTAGAGGGGCACGGTATATCTAACGATTAGCAATTCCAATTCTCTGTACTTATCGTAAATACACCTGGAATTCTGAGGCGAGCCCAGTATTACTTGTTGGATACTTTGAATTCAACGTTCACAATATAAGTTGCTTTTGTGTACTAGTATTCAATGCAAGCACAAAAACATAACCAAGTTAAATAATTAACCTTAATACAATTCTGTCAAAGAGAAGAAAGATTTTGAACCAAGACAATTTAATATTCGAACAAAGGGACTAGCTAAATGAAGAACCTACCGCGAAATGAGCATGTAAAACAGACAGTTCATGCACATGTGTGCTTCACCAGAACAGGTAGGAAAGAATGAGAACACTTACTTAAATGTACACTAATGCGCGTTCTTTTTATCATTATAAAAAGTGAGTAAGTAACTGCGGTAACGGAAGGAAGTATGACGTTAAGAAAACAGAAAGGTAACTACGCACAACTAAGGATTAAATGGTTGCATTTAATTTGTATAACATGTAAGAATCATGAAAAATATGTATACCAAAAGTTTTTTTTCAATGATGAGAAGATAACTACTGCTGTCAAAATAGTGACTGCAGAGAGATAAAAACGTAATCAGCTTACATTTCCATAAAATACTTCTATTAGGGTTGGTTCATGTTTACAGAACAAAATGTTTACAATAGACAGGACGTAAATATGAATGGAAATTACCGGCAAATACGACTACACCTCATGTACGTCAAAATTTCTCTACATTAGTTACATCAACATGATACGAGAATGATAATAATAATCAAGAAAATAAATGATGTATTTGTAAAATTCAACACTGTAACAGTTTGATAAACTAAGAAGAATTACCCAAACAAGATTATTCTGAATGTATCTGAGTATGTGCGACCCAATTTAAAGAGCAATAATAACGGTAGTAATAAAAATAAAGTTCATTATTAGTGAAAGAGGGTATGTGTGATACAGAGAAATGTTTATCACGATTAGTCTTACTTTTCATTGGCAAGGGACAAAATAACAGTATACTGTGCGGTTCTTCTTCACCTATGAAGATGAAAAGATGCTTGGGCACATTGACCAGTCACCAGTTAATTTGTGCTCCCAATATTTTCCATTGAAAATATAGGTTTCTTTATTCGTAGTTGGATCGACTTCTTTTGTGAACCATAATGGTCTATGCTGACTATCAATAATATCAACTGTAAAAATAAAAATGATACAATCAAACTATGCATAAAGTGTTATGAGACGTATACTATAGAGAAAAGTGGCATGTACATAACAATAGTTTCTACTGATATTAGGACTTAAACTACTAGATCAATATGAAGTCTAAGATGAAGAAATAATGACTGACGAAATCAAAGTAGAACCTCGCACACGAGTGCATCGGTTCAAGTTGCAACACTTCACAGTATATACACAAAGAACAGGTGGATAGGAAAAGAGTAATATTAAGAAGATAAAGTGACGTGAGAGATTAAACAGTCTGGAGAAAACAGTCAGTGAGAATATTCGAGCTTAGGAAAATCACGAAGAGTGAATACGTCTGCGTCATTGTGACCGACTTCAGCCACACCACCAAGAGTCATCAACCACTGAGTCCTTTTGTCTCAGGGATCCTGACCAGGCGGCCAACACCAGCTTCTGACAGACAGCTGAATATTTCAACAGAAGGCGCCACATATAACCCAAGTTGGCAAACGAAAAACGAGCCTTCACTATCAGAACTGAGACTTCTTCAGCAACCAGTCCGTTCGAGCTGAGGTCGACACATTCCACCTCTTCACTTTCTATCCTTAAACTGGAAGCAGTTGCAGACCAGTGCTGAAGCATCACCTTACACTTGTCAGGCGCGAAACGCAAGCCAAACATACTCAAATTCCTGCTCAACGCATCCTGAAGACCCTGCATTTTGTCAGCATCTTCACGTAGCTGGACAATATTGTCTGCATACTCCGACTCAACGAGACGACCTTCCGGAAGTAGGTTAATCCCTGGGAAGTCAGACGTACATAAAAGTATGTCCACTAATACATCTATAAATAAACTAAACAGGAACCGCGATAGTGGATATCACTGGTGGACATCCCTGATTCCCGTCAATCCACATGACGACTCTCCATAACCTCTTACACGGCTGCGTGAATTCGAGTAGAGAGCTCTGATTAGCATTGCAAACTTGCTCGATACTCCCTTCACAATCAGATACTGCTACAACACCTAACGGTTGACAGGGTTGAATGCCACCCACAGGTCAACATATATATGGCAGGTATCGACCACCAGATATGTGTGTCTCGGAACCTGTAGAAGAGTGGAAATCTGATCGACATAGCCTCGTTCAGATCTGAAACCTGCCTGGTTTTCTCGAGTTTGCTGTTTTCGAGCCCAAGTTAGGCGTCGGAAAATCATGAACCCTATGATCTTGGATATGATATTAGTCAAATTAATTCCCCTATGGTTGTCACAAGAAGAATTCTCTGACTTCTTATGGACTGGAGTGACCGGTGAAGTGGACCAGTTTGATGGAACTACCTCTGATTCCTATACACTACCCAGCATCTCCATTACTCTGATCAGTAACTTCCTACCTCCATCCTTAAAATCTCCGGGTAGTAAACCGTTGAATTCTACTGCGTTGCATCGTATCAGTTTCGACACAGCTTTCCTAACAGCAATAAGAGTTGAAGGACCGACATCCACGTTCCATTCAAGTTCAGGTTGGATGTTTCGTAGCTGAGGCGTTTCTAAAGACCAGTTGAACAGTGCACCTTAGTGCTAAAGATGTATGAACTAGGGGTTTGTCAGAGTTTCATTCTTTTCGGTGATGGTTTCACTTATTATCATCTTTGTTTTGCTGGTATTGTTAATCAGCCTAAATAGTTACTGAGTTTTATCCTAAGCTTATGCCTTCTCTATCTTTCTTGCTCCCACCACTCCTCGCGATCGATGCGAAGACTCTTGATCAACCTACATTTAAGTTGCTTTCGCTCTTCCTCGCGGTCACAGCCAGTTGAAACTAGTTAGTTCGGATGACCATGATGAAATGCAGTGACGTTTGCAAACCTTTCAGGTACTGGTTACCAATCGTCGTTACCACTGTTTCGACAACAGACTTAATATCACGCCAGATTTCCTCAGGATAAGCATTGATGTCACGTTCAGATAAATGCTTAGCTGAATCCTCACTAAATGAGTACTTAGAGTCCTCGTTTACCGATCGAACACACATAGGCCTCACTGTCTCCTGTTTCCAATAGCCAAGACACACCAGCCTGTACTAGTGCGTGACCAGAGTTCAAACTGGTATTCCAGAAAGAGCGACAATACTCTATCTATTCTCCCCAACGATGTGTGATCCATCTCTGTCCATAGTTGGTGTGCAGTAGAGCGACAACATGTGAGAGTCTCTTATGTCTAAAGTTAGTGATGTCCAGAAACAAGTGATTATTGAAACAAAACTGCAATAGACTATCACTGTAGTTGGCTCGTTGACATGGGATCCCGTGAATAGCCGCAAGGTGCCTTTCCAATTGCTTCAGGTTCCCTATTTGAGCGTTAAAGCCACCTGTCATTGTGACTATATTCGAATGGTTCGCTTTCTGACAGCTTCTCATACAACCCATCCTCATCATCAGCAATTGGTAAGTGTTTGGGCAAACATTACGAATAGCGATTTGTTGGTCTCATGGTCTTTCCTGGTCAATACAGATCCATTCAGTCGAACAGCAAATAGACGACTGCTTGCTGGAATCCAGTGGAGGAACGCATTTTCTGCTCTATAACTTACAGCAATCCCTACACCAGTGAGTCCACCAAAGCTACCTACCGATTTTCCTGATACTCATAAGGTGAATTTTGAAGATTCACTACAATGGCCAGGTGAGGTCAGTTGATTAACTTCTACATGTGTCTCGGGATACAGCATCATCATTGTCATCAATATCAACATAGATCAGCATATATCCGTCGCTAGAAATTCCAGAGTTTTGGCCAGCGATACTTTCTGTCCAATTTGGTACAGAGTTAGGACACTCAAAGTTCCTACATGAAATCGACGACAGGCTCTTAAGGGACTAAGAATGAGGTTCCGTTGACTTTGATCGTTGACATTGGTTGCAGAGTGAGGTTGGGTAAGGCGTAAATACCTATATTAGTATCAGGATGTGAAGGCAAAGGAGGAGACAGAGTTGAGGGGGATAGGTTACATTTGATTGAGTCATGTGTACTACTGGAAGTGTAAGAGCTGCTGACACTATGGAAGGCTAGTTCTTCTTAAGGTATCTGAAAGAGAAAAAGGTTTGTGTAACCCCAGAACCAAGAACCCATCGCCCAACAAATATGCAGAAGAAAGTGGAGATGGATTGCACATACACTGAGAAGACTATTTGGGAACATCATACTCTAGGCCAAGCCCTCGAGTGGAACCCGTGTGGGAAACGACGAGTTGGGCGTCCAACGGTGATATGGAGGAGGTCATGTGAGGAAGAAATGAAAGCTTCTGGATAGTCGTGGAGCCAGGTTGAGAAGGCTGCATAGAAGAGAGTGAAGTGGCGACGCGCTACTGAAGCCCTATGTTCCACTAGGAACCTAAAGGAAAAATAATAATCACCCCAGAACCCATGGGACATCTGCTTGAGGCCTGTCACACACCGCTTTTTGTGGGTTGATGTTTTAAGGTTTGGTCTTTCTAACGCCAGGTAGAGAGAACCAATACCACCACCGGAACTGGAAGACCATGGGGCAAGGTGAATTATGGTATTTTTAAGGTCAATCATTTCTAAGCCCCCCTTCCATTGAAAAGACAGAATCAGAGTGGCACTGTTGGTCATCTGAGGGAAACACTTTACTGCTACCACACTCCATCCAGCTAGCAGCAGCACGACTTCTCCCTCGGACCCCATCATACTGTAGTAATTTACACTACAACAGTAACTGCTTTTCGTCTTATGACTATCCAACAAACCTTCCTGCCATGGTAAGCACCTCGAGGGAACAAGCGTTCCACCAGCATAGCTAGCTAGGTCGTCGCGATATGCAAGCCAAACCACTAAGTCAAGGTAGTAGCAATCTGTCGGGTGAAGAGATAGTAGCTTGTCACCTCTGATAATTGACTACTCTTTAGTACAAACAGGTTTTTTTTAGTCTCAGGTTCAAGAAAGGAAACTTAGTCAAAAAGGGCGTTTGCTGGGAGGCTTTATTTAATAGTGTCAAATTTCTCTGCTTATTTAGAATACTTCTATTCATTCTCACATAAGAACCCCCCCCCTTCTGAGAAACCCTAATGCACTAGAGAAGAAAAACCACCATGTACTAGAACTTCACATTTTATAGCTCATAAATAATCTCCTTGAATAAAATGTTCATTGCAAACAGAAAATGTAGGACTCTAGTCCGATATTGAAAGAATGTTGCTGCCTCAAAAAAACAGAAGTAATAATTTCGTAAAACACTTTTTACTGGGAATGATCATACTGACAACGAGAATGAAATAATTCAACAAAACAAATTTCAGTAAGGACTTACGAAAATGACTGGCAGATGGGCCTGACTGAGAGTAATCAAATTTACTTCCAGGACTCGAATCCACAGATTTACTGTGCGCATCATTGACTTCATCTTCCTCTTTGTTGGAAGCAAACGACTGAGCAGCTAATTGAGCAGCCATCTGACGTCTTCTTTGACGCTGCAGTTCTTCAAGTTGTACTTTTGATCTATTGGCTTCATCCCAACGACCGACTTCCATAAGACGCTGATCAGGTCGTAGGCGACAATCAGTAGGGCATACACCTTCTTCTGGTTCGTTCAACTGCAAAGCCAAACGTGTGAAGTAATACATCCGATCTGCATCTGGCGGCAAAGGATTACTTTGCCACAGAATGCGTGCAGGACCAGTTTCCAATACTGGTTTTCCATTACGCGTATGCCTGGCGCTAACCACAGGTGCATACTCCAGTGAGTCATCCCAGGTGCCGTTTAACACAAATCGTACAGCGCCAGATTTGTCCAAAACAGCACCAGTTACCTAAAATATGGAATAAAGCATGAGAAAAGTATGGACACTTTGAAGTACCAAAATATACACTTCAATATATCGCTAGTATGCACTGGAAACACTGTGGACGTAAAAGGTACAGTATTATACGAACAAGAAAATTTAGACAAAGCATGAAACTCACGGATTGATTCGCCTAGGACATGTGTTATGCATCCCTAAATTACGTTTACCACAATGAAAAAATCGGATGACCAAATCGATGAATAGCACTAATTTATGAAGTCTTCTGACTGTTGTTCTGAGCTGCGTATGCTCTCTCATTACAAATGAAAGACAACTAGAGATTGAAGACATTCAGTGATATGGCACAGATCAACCCACACGATACGTGCTTTTGTTTCTTTCAGTTCACTTCATTTTCATAATTTTTAAGGTAATTAATCTTACTTCTTTGCCTTCCCTGTCGTTCAATTCTGCTAAAATATGGTATTACGAAATGCAGTAACATGAACTGTTTCCAGTTAAGTCTGGGTCATGTGTCGTTTATTTCTTTCCCCAATGAAATAAGATGGGGACCAAGAACTAACAACTATTTGTTGAACTAGAAATAAACTGATAAGCAGAAATTGCAGGGTATTTTAAGCCTTCCGTGTTTCAAAATCATTTAGGTGATTAAAAATTCTTACAGATTACTGTGACTAGAATTACTTTTTCCTGTCACAAAAGTGTCTACACATTAGGGAAAACTGTTGAGTGTTCAGCTGTAAACTGAACATCAAAGTATGTAAATCATCATTTAATAATAGTCTTGTCGATCCCCATAAGTAATTCAAAAGATTGTGCAGTAGGCCACACCATACGGATAAAAAGATAAAAATGAGAAATCATCTTCAGAATTTCACCTACAGAAAACGATAACAGTCTTCTGTAATTTCGGTTATATTTTTAATTACCTTGGGAAATCACTTGAAAAATACGAAGAACAGAACACATGAGATAGTTTTTCTATTTCAATTTCGAAATAATGGGTAGCGTATAAATTCGATTGAGAAAATTCAAAACGCTTACAAAGTGCACAAATTTACTCTGTGATAGTAATCTTGAAATTCAAAGAGTAGCGATTTCGAGCTAAAATTAATCATCGGTATTATTTAGGGAAATCTATAATAATTTTCGGGACCCAAAGTATCCATCAGCCAAAATCTGTTTGAGAAATAAGTAACAATTGAAATTATGAGCAATTTCGATGGATCATCCTTTTTACAATCAGCATGAATTGATTTAAGCTGGTGATATGATCACGATTACTCTGTGTTCACATTTTAAATATTATAGCCAGTGACAAAAAAGTTATCCACAAATAACTTTCAGCTATTTTTAAAAGCTTGACTTGCAGTACCAGATAAATTTTACTCAAATTAATGTAACAACTTACTCGACGAGGTTTTTCATTGGAAAAATATGAGTAGGGTTTGTAAGAAAGATGACATTTTTCACCTGTATTGTGATTGATGATATCCATTTCACCACTATTATCAATCCACAAGCGTCCAACAATGATATTATGAACAGTCATAGGAATCTTTTGCCATGTGTAATGATGACCAGTTCGACGAAATACTAAATGACACGTACCCACTGGATTGATTTGTAAGTATTTACCACGAAATTTGGTTGTCATAGAAAATTCAAACCAACAGTACCAAGTATTACTTTCACAATGTAAAGCACATGCCGGTGGATGATGACTGACCTATAAATAAGAAATGCATATGGGCACGGAAAAAAGTTAATATACTACATATACTGATTGTTTTTAAAAACATTAGAAATAAACAAATAACAATGAATGAAAAACAGCAATTTAACGCATTTGTTGACCTTATTTAAAGACGTTTTCATTGATATGGTAACCATTATTTCTATCGGGAAGGATGAGAATTATTTGATGACGATTATAAAAATTTCCAAGAATAAACTTAAAAGCGATAAATCACTTGTAAAAAGGACATACTACCCTCTTGCTTGTAAAGCTACTGTTTTAACAGCTGGTACAACAACCCTATCCTTACTAAATTCATATTCCCTCAATAGCATAATGCCAACAGTTAAACAATATCATAGACAGAGTAGTTAAAGAATTCAATTAACTAATGAGTTACAACTTCGACGTGTAAAAGGTTAGTACCACGACGTCGTGATAACCACATTCCGTTTTCAGCGAGATTCCAGGAGAAAACAAAAGCTGTGGAACCCTACACCAACGAGCGGTAATATGATGAAGCAACACCAGTCATATGAGCGTAAATAGTATAACGGGTAGAACGGGGTTTCCTTTAATCAAAATTAAACTTATAATACGTCGTACAGTTTTGCGTGTAAATGTTATTAGCAAGTATCACTCAGAAGATAATACAAAAGCTACTCAAGTTTTTAGCCGGTTAGGTATCAAGTGAAACACAAATATTTCTGAACCAAAAAAGAGCCAAGATAGCAAAAAGTCCAACAGTAAGGAAACGAAATGATTACTTCCCAAAAAACTGAAATCGATGATAAAATTCGAAGGTTATCCGAAGTAACTAAGATAAAAGACAGCTTTGTTACAAGCTTGAAGAATGTAGTATTTAAGTGCGTAACAAATTTCATTATCTGTAATCTCAATGGCTATCGCTAGTAGTGCCACACTTAAAAGATGACTGAATGGTTTCGAAATCGACTGAGAAATCAGATTGTTAAGGAAAAATTTAGATGCACGAAACGTATTCTTCAAGCTTTGCTTTAAATATTGGCTTCACTTGTGTGGGCGTTATTTAATTTGTACCTGCGTCGTGCTGCAGGTATAATAAATCGTTTACAAAATATCTACCTTGACGGAGCATTTCTTCTTCAACAACAATAAAAGCAGATATTCCATCACCCATACGTTATCCTTTCTCCTAGAGATGATTCGTTGCAAAATTGGAGGTATTCAGTACGTCATAACTAGAATGACCAGATGCGTAGGTCTTTTAAGTCCACTTCTAACAGCTTGCTTAGCAACCCACTTGAATCTAGTAATTTATCTGTCACTCAAATTATACAGACACATAAAAACGCGGTAGCCGACGCAAATGCATGTCCAAGAGGCCAACACAATAGATTTAGAAAGAAGGTAGGACATAAGGAATAAAAAACGTACAATAAGATTGATGCAATCCGGTTATACGCGTGTAGAAACTTGAACAACAACCTTAAGATTTCACCTTTGATGGTCATTTTATCCCTCGGAAAAAGAAAAGATGGTATCACAACAGGTGTATTGCAACGGCAAAATACGTACATATTAAATTTGTCTCTCCAACCGATCGGATATCTATACATATGGTCATGTCCCTTTTCTCCAGACTTTCAAGTATGTTGATTAGTTGTGAAGGTATTCAGGAGCTTTGAGCTTTTCTGAAAAATCCTAGTGAAGGTCAGAACAATTATTTTCGCAATTAGGAGAATTATTCGATGTGAACAATACAGTTAGAGAATAACCACAAGTGGTTTGGGTTTCGCACAGCCGCTAACCAGAAAGACTCCCATTTAGTTAAATGGAGGACAACTGGCAGAAAGCCGTGTACTAAGTTCCGTGTTTGTTGGTACTCGCCAACAAGGCATACCTGGGACGTCGACAGAAGTGATGTCATGTCTTGTCTGGGTTCAAACCGGCATCCCCCAGTATTGCAGTGAGAGACGTTATCACTAAGCTATTCAAGCTGTGATTGACCTTCTGCAGGACCAGATTAGGTACATTGATTAGTCAGTGGAAGGTAACCAGCTTCGATCGATCATCTATCACAGTGCTGGCCACACTGCAAAATGGTCGACAGAATTCGATCAGCTCTTACGACTAGACAACGTGAACTTGTTTACCCTCCAGTGATCGGTCAATGTACAAACTACCATTCTCCACAATGTCTAGATAGACAGTTGACTTCATAGATTGGTCCCACGTCATGATCTGACCGCCTTGAGTGTTTCCAAACTTCTACTCCAGTTATCGTTGCCTGTTTGCATGAGAAGCATATGTGAGACATGACCCAGATACCTTAATCAGCATTATCATAAATTGACTTATTGTGGTTACCGAAAAAACCACTGCCTATTTGATGAGTCTAGTCCATGCAAACACTCAACTATAATTCACTATGATTTCAACCTCTAAATGAATGGTTAGCATGAATATGTATCATTAATTTTCATGTATGGCTTACAGTTTATTACATAAGACCGCATACACCATGATAATACTAAAGAAAACCATCCTTCTAAACAGCGTCACTGAAATTTTCCATGTTTTAGGAAGGCGCTCGTTATGTTAGACAGTGTACAAAGGTTATTGAATAATGCCCAACATCCTCACAAGATCAGACAGAAAAATGTGTAACCAACCAGATTCCATCTTCAGACTCTATATACACATCAAGTACTAAAAGAATCTTTGGGCTATTTGAGATAATCAGTATATAATGAAATTGTGCAATGCAGTATCTATAAATACTGTTTACGGTCATATTATGTTCATAATTCTTTGAAACGCTCTTAATAACTATCTTTATTTACTTTCGTTACCTGTTCACATGGTCGATGAACTGACTCTAGAAACTAATGGGAAATGTAAGTTTTTTCGCAATAAAATTTAAAATGTCGTTATTATAACGAGAACCTGTTTGTGTGTTTAGAAGACATTAAAAAGGGATTATATGTAAATGAACCTAGTAACAATAAGATGTATAATCTGGGTACATAGTTCATCATATGATTGACAATCCTATCTCCTAGTTATTGGTCACACAAGACAGAATACATATCCAGGTTGGAAATTTTTATCATGCATTGATAGAATTATATACAACGGAGCACTATAAGTATATGGTCAATAGTACTATATACATATTGGTTGGCTACCGGAGAGTAACCAATTTCATATGGTCTAGTCCAGAGTGTTGATCGAATTCTATCGACCATTTTGCAATGTGGCCACCAAGCTAGGACCTTACCATTATAGTACACTTTGAAGGGTGTTAGCTTGCAATGGGCGTTGCTGATAACAACGGATATAAGTAGTATATGTCGAGAGGGTGGCAGGAATCATAGGGAATTACTGGCAATGGGTAAGGTTTCTGCCAAGAGCAACGTAGGGGACAACACAGGCGTATTACAGGGGATGCTGCTGATAACAGTGTATGAAGAGCCGGTCAAGAGCAAATCAAAACAGGAACGGAGAGGAAACGAAGACATTTGCAAATGGCTGCGTTAGTGCAAGAAGTACCATATGTGACCACTACCATTCCAATTCTTTCTAATATACATTATCTCGTCGAGTTGTCTTCTGTTTCTTCAGTAGGACCTCTGGTGAGTAATCGTTCCAGCTAGTGAAGCTCGTTGGGTCATTGTGATATACTAAAGCCGACCACCGCATCACGGTAGCAGCTATCGGTCAAGGTACTTAACCACAAGCTTCACTGGCTGTCTTTGATAATTAGATCTTATAATCAGCTAAGGAAGATAGATATGAGATGCGTATGCCTGCTATTGCAGGCATATATCACGATACGCTGTGCTTCGTTTCTGCCTGCTCCGAAAAAATGATGCTTACAGCGTTCGAATCAAATAATCTGAAGTCGGACGTCTTCTGAATAACTTTACAATGAGTGACGATTAGGTACACATTAGGAAGTTAATCGGAGGACATATGAAAAGCTGCGAAATGGATCAAGCAAATGGAATTTAAAGACAGCTACTCATAGACAGAGTTTTAAAATTTTAGCATCATAGAGAAGTTGAGAACACTACTCATTAGACTGAACACTGGTGGCTGAATGAGTGTTTGCACCGTGAATACTAATGCAACTCTGTGGCGAATTCATTTCGATGAAGATTTCCGAAATAAAGTTGCACAGCTCCTCTTTTTTTTCAATGTTCCTCTAGTTGGTGACGAACCGTGATAAATACTTTGACAGCGGACTGAACGTCTCGAACATACATACATGTAGAACAATGGGACCTGACGCTTTGCCAGCGCATATGTCCAGTAATAATAGGAAACCACTGACTAGAGTGAGTTACTAGCTAGCTTACGGGAAACAGAACCAGTTACATTTGTCTCACCCAAACTATTTTACAAGAAAGGAGAGAAGCTTTCTGTGACAGCCACAAAGGAACCAGACTAATATCGTACCTAAGATCCTAGCGACCATAGTTGTCCAATGCATAACTTCCTTCTTGTTTCCCACTAGTTGTCGCTATTATCGTTAGCAGAGCTGCAGCAGTTTACTGATTCTATTTACTTGTCGGTCCATATTTTCGTTAAATTCTTGAAATAATGTTCACTTAGCATGGTCCCATTAATCGTTTGTCGGCATTTGAATGACTTACTAACAACGAAATGCAGCCAAGACGAAACAACTGGTTTACACCCATTGATTAAAAAAAATCTCAGACCAATTTTTTTAGCACATCGGTAAACTTATAGGCACTTGGTGTTTATCAAGGTAATATTACGAAATGAGCTAGTGTTTTTACTACTTCTATAAATAAACGTAGAAATTGTCATTGATGAGTCTACAAAACTAAAATAATCTTCCGAAAAGGCACTTTATCTTACTTATGCGTGTACAGTAGACGTTTCGTATAGGTAGTGGTCAAGAGATAAGATATCTGGAAAGAACAAACTTACATTAAGTTAGTAAGTCTCAAGTAGGAAGGTAAGCTCAATGTAAAAGGTCTAATTGGTCCTTATTCAGAAGCGCTTTAGAGCGTACGGTAGTGACAGTAAGATATCTTTGTTTACATGTATACTAACCTTATGTGCAGCTTATTTTCCAATGCAGTCACCGTCACTAAAGTGATATATATTTCATCATACCAGTCCCCACTCCTTGAGTGAAAAGGAGTATCCAGTATGATTATATTTGAGAAACTGGCTAAATTTCTCGAAAATATCGGGTATTAATGAAAACCACACAGTCCTATGACACGCCATCATAAGATCTTCATACGTAAAAATCGGAAAGATTTACAGCTCTACTTTGTAACATGGAAAACAGGCCCTTCAAAGCATTAAGTGTAGAAGTAGTGTACACCACTTAATTCTTTCTGTGATATAATAACATCTATATACGTTAGTAAAATTCACAAGTTATGACCACTTAAACTATTAGCTTTGATATGGGGCTTATAGGCAGAGATGGCTTTCCTTATATAGTGCGGAACAGAAGTCACTCATTAAATGACTGATCACGTTTACTTACACATCCTTTGGTCCCTTGCTTAAGATAGATGGCTAACTGTTGAGTGTATCTGCTCTTTTTCTGATTTCCTAACCAGGTAACATCTCAACGAAAACAAAAGGGGGAAAGTCAAGGCCAATCCTACGATACAAACGAGTGTAAATACAGCGAACTGCACCCCTTAGCCACGCATCTTCCGCCTGTTCAAACAGATGCAAACATAACGACTCACCAAATGACCTCGGAACCAACAGGTGCTTGCCAATCACGTGAACAGTATTGAACGTTTATATACTCTCAGTTATCTTTACTGGGGTACGTTCATATCTCTGTAATCACTATTAACAATGCGTACAACCAAGCACAGAATACATGCAAATCCCATCTAGCTTTTTAGGTCATTTTAAAAATAGCAGACTTACGATTACTTCAATAAAAATTTTTATCGTAATCGGTTTGACTCTTTATCGTTATTAAGAACAAAAGTTCAAAAATCTTATGCTGCATAGTCGTAGAAACTACCCTGTGTATATTTTGCTCTCTTTCCTACTTTTACTATTTAATAATACGGCTTTTCTGGGTTTCCTTTGAGTTGTTTTTTTTGAAAGATTGTTCATAACGATTAGTCTCTTAAGGGCAGCTGGGAATTCTTAGACATGAGGTTGCCATTGATTATTTATCAGTTAAGGGTCCGGTCCTATTACCTTCTTGTCCTAAAAATTGTTGTACTACAACGCTACAAGTTCACCTTCCTCGTGAAATCCAGAATTACTAAAAGAGGATGTATAGGATGACATGCGAGTTATGATTATGATTATCTTGTTTCAAGAATATCGAATTCGCCGTTGGCTGATTTGTTACATAAGTACATTTCCAAAATATACGAAGCCTATCTGGGAACGGACTTCAGAGATATATTCAATCAAAGACATGATATGGTAAGCATGAATAACTAACGCGAAAAGCACAATGCTATACTGACCTTAGTTAAGAGTGCCAGTCGATGGACGTAATTTCCTATTTCGCGCGAGTGAGACAAAGCGCTAATTGTCGTTTTCTGATTGGTCAGTGCGAAATAGCCCTTATAAAAGAAAAAGCGGTATTTTCTAATTTTGGAAACATCGAGGCTTCGTTCTTGCGCTGAACAGACGTCGAACGAGTTGTCTTCTGTTTCTATAAGCTGATTAGAGGTAATCGACAGGCATCCCTGGACTTAGGTTTCATGTTAGTTAGTACTCGTCAGCAAGGCGTGTCTACAACCTCGAAAGAACTTATATCCTCTGTGGGATTTGAACCCACGTAACCTCTGAGTTATTCACTTTAACATTCTAATGCCGCATAATCTACAGTTACGCACTTACGATGGAAAATCTTTGTTGCACCTGCTATTTTTCAACCCGCCTGAGAAGCCTTGTGCACATTCGTGAAGTAGGCAATGAGAGAAAAGTAACGGTTGTACCTAGCTGCTCAAGCAGAAGTCAGACGGAGTTTGAGACAAAAGAGGTAAGACAGTTAATGCGGCTGTGAACCTTCATCGACTGAGATGGCTGGGACATGTGTTACGTGTGCCTAACCATAGTCCGCCTCGTAACAGAATGTTGGCCAAAGTAGGTCCAGGCTGCAAAAAGGCTCGGGGTGGTCAGACTAAAACTGTTGGTTTGAGCCATGCAGGGTGATGCAGACTAGCCGATTGGGGTCTACAGGATTAGAGAAATCAGTGGTCGGAGACTCGAAGCGATATGGCTGAGAACTGATGTCAGTGGGGCAGATGCATATACACATTATCCTCACATTAACCACTATATGTAATCTCATTCTCCCTTCCTCTGTTTTACTACTTTCTATTTTTACTTCCTTTGACCAGTTTTTCTTTCTTTCTTCATTTTCCATTTTATTGCTTTGTTACTTGATGTGATGATATGAAGTGTGGCAAATTGGACCGTTACTCAGTAATGCCTGGTCCGATGTTGATCTCGATGATGATGAAACCCCGAAGGGTAGAGCTGGATACGAACTTGTGATCCATCCGTTAAGAATCACGTGCCTACTCCGTTGGGGTACAAGTCTAATCAGTTCTCGTCGTCACAGATAGAGTTAGTTATATAGCACTCAGTTTTCTTTTTCCAACTAAACAATAGAAAGGAAATAAGGCTTAAGAAGACTGTTTTCTAAAATTCGAAAAATGGAAACAATTACTCAGTTCTATATCTACTCATCGAACCTTGAGGAAATAAAATGGTACAAAAATATAAACAAAGCAAACAACAACGTTGAAGTTTTCTTTCGATTACTTCATCACATTTACAACCACAAGAAACACATACCTGTTCAGCTAAAGATCTCCAACCAAGATCATCAGTTCTATCACATTCATATGTCTCACCTAATAAGGGATTGAATGGTTTATTTGTACGTACTGCAGTTGTAGCATACGCCGATACAGTGAATGCAGCCACATACGCCATTTGTTCCAGTGAGTCTTGGCATGCAGCAGCATTATCCAGACATGATGAATACTCAAAATCCTCTGTTAAACGTTGAAGCATTGATAATGGTTCACTGAAATTAACCTGATCAATAAGACCCAGTTGTTGGAAAAAATGTACCAGGTCAGAAAATTGACACAGTAGCGTTATATAGAGGAAAATATTATGAGAAATATGTTATACAAAAGAACACGGTTATCAAACTCCACATACTGAAATATTCATTCTGTTAAATTAATAACTTCAAAAGTTTTACGAATGTCAATGCTTTTTGCATTGACATTAGTTCGTTGTGTAGCATATAGTTCTACATCTCTACAATACGTTTCGATTGGTAAAAAAAGGATAAGAACAAGTAGTGTCCTTCGTGTTCCAGTGGATAGGGCTTTTTCGTTTGAAACGCTGGGTAACGTGTTCGAGTTCCACATACGACGAAATGAGCGTTCTGGATTAAACTGTGAGTCACTCAGATGAGTATAAGAATAATCATTATTAGTTGTTGAGCAACGATTAAATATGAGTAAAATAAAGATAATGCTTACATTTTTCTCTGCGTAAAACATTCAATGGAAGTATTCAAAGAGCATTGGGAGTGGTTAGTTTCCAACAGTTGAATAGCAAGCTGGTTGGCGTTACTCAAAAAGAAGTACTCACATCAACACGATTTCGAAGGAAATATTTCGAAAAGAGGTTACTACATTGTTCCCTATGTCGGAGTCAATGACCCCATTAATAAATTTGAAAGAAAAGCTACCTTGGATCTATCATTCTGGAAAATTCAAACATGCACTAGGCCACGTCTTAACCCTGCTTAAGCCAATTCACTTTTCTTATCTGTCTTAAGTTCCAAGTGGTTTACAAAAGTATTTTATAAGCAAATTGATTCATAAATGCATCTCCATTCCTAATTTCAGTACGCTATTCTCTGTCGGTTATAAAGTTCGTATAAGTTTACTGGCTATTTAGGTGCCTTTGACCTCACTTTCGAGTGACTTTAAAGACCACCCTAACAACTGTCTAATAAACCAATCAGGTTTCGGTATTTCCCCTTGAAAAGCACTTTTCTATAAAACAGAGTGTATTTGCATGTCTCATCAGTTGCTAGGGTGGTCTTTAAAGTCACCCTCACTTTCATACTTTATGACTGACACAAGGTCTGATTTAACTTTGGGAGTGCAGGAGAGAAGCAAAATCAACACATTGATTTGACGGATATTTGTCGATTTGTGGTTTACTTTAAAGGTCACCTCGGCAACTGAAGAAATGACCACTCACGTTTACGTAGTTCGGCTATGTAAGCAGTTTTTTTAAAAATCGTGAAACCTAACTGGTTACTTTGCAGTTGCTAGAGTAAACCTTAGGGTCACTCAACAAAAACAAGTGATTTCGGTATCTCAGTGAGGAAGGCAATTTTTCATAAAATTATTTTATTTTTTTGCCCCTTGAGTTCCCAGTGGAACATAGGGCTTCAGTAGCATATCGTCATTTCACTCTTCTCTGCAGCCTTTTCAACCTGGCTCCGCCACTGCCCAGAAGCTTTCATTTCTTCCTCACATGATCTCCTCCATGTCACCCTCGGACGCCCGACTCGTCGTTTCCCACACGGGTTCCACTCGAGGGCTTGGCCTAGAGTATGATGTTCCCAAATAGTCTTCTCAGTGTATGTGCAATCCATCTCCACGTTCTTCTGCATATTTGTTGGGCGATGGGTTCTTGGTTGGTTCGTTCCCAGTCAGCCAAAGTTGCTTGCTGCTTATTCTTATTATTTTGGCCATCTTATCTTCATTGTCAGTATCGAATGAGCGTAGGTAGCAGCTAATGATGAATATCTGTAGTTTGTTGGAAATGCTTTTCGTAACGCGCCAAGTCTCTCAACCACATAGTAGAAAAACTAACTTGACCGGCATTAGTGTTCAAAATCCGAATTTTGTTCACGCTTTATGCCGGTGCAGTGCAGTAGATCTCCATATTGATTTCAGATTAATGAAGGCCTGTCTTGCTGTCTTTCTAATCCTGGCTTCCACATCCTCATCTGTGCCATCACCTGCAGTTGAAACGATGCTGCCTAGGTAGGTAATTAGGTAGGTGAAAGAGAAAACTTCCTTTAGGTTTCTCCCGTCCATGGTGATTGATCCTTGTTGTTGTTGGTTGGGTATCTTCATCACCTCTGTATTCTCTACGTTTACCTGAGGGAAGTTACGTCTTCGCAGTCCTGCCTCTTCTCCCAACTTGTTGGTTTTCGCCTGTAGATCTTCGAGTTTTTGCGACATGAATCGTCATCGGCGAAATCCAGGTCTTCTAGGGTCTTTCCATCGGTCAAACAGCGTATGCCCATCTTCTCGCTCCTCACAGTTTGTTGCATGATCCAGTTTAGTCCACCACAATCAGGAAGGTCGTCGATGACAGTAGGCAACCTTATCTTTCTCCAGTCTCCACTTCAAAGCCATTGCTGAGCTTTCCATTGTGTTGTGAATCACTTGGCATGTAGAGTCGTCATATAGCTGTTGAATGAGGTTGATAAACGTTTGAGGCATTAAAACCATAGTGCTGAAGCAGTTTCTAAAGTACTTCTCGGTCGACGCTACCGAAGGTTTTTTTCAAAATAGATGAAGTCGAGGTGAATAGATGACTGCCATTCTATACTCTGTTCTACGATGACGCGTAGCGCGGCGTTGCGATTTGATCCACACATGATTTGGTTTTCCTGAAGCCAGCCTGTACCGATCATAGTTTTGAATCAAGAGCATTGTTTAGTCACTCCAGGATGAAGCAGCATAATATTTTGCTTGCTTTGTGTGGACAGAGATACGAGCATGATTCCACGCTAGTTCTTGCAAAGACTTAGGTTCCCCTTCTTTGAGAGTTTGACCAGGTAGCACTCCTTCCACTCTGCAGGTACCTTTCCTTCCTTCCTTCCTTGTGAGCCTTGTGCAATAGTGGTGTGAACATGTCCGCTATTGTCTCTGTGTCTGTTTCAAGTGCTTCTGGTGGAATTTTATCTGGTCCTGCTGCTTTCCTGGATTTCAGCAACTTTATGGCGTTCACGACTTCACTGTTGTTTTTGTCGGAGGGCTTGTGTTCACTGATAGTTGATTGGCTGGTCTGCTGGTGGTATTTGTGGACGAGTTGCAGGTGGTAGTGGTGGTGGTGGTAGTCGATTCAAGAGTTTTTTGAAGAGGTCAGCTCATCATTTCCTTTGTTTCTCCTCTTTGGTGGTAACTAGCTTTCCTTCACTATCTTTCATTGATTTCATCTATGCTGTGTTGATCTCTCCACTACCAGATATTAACCTGGTTATTTGATATAATGTTGTCAGGTCTCTGTCTCTCCTACCTGCAGCCTGTTCTGCTTCAGTTGCCAGTGTGTCGTGGAAGTGTCTTTTGTCTTTCCATACACTCTTCTTCACTTCTTTATCCAGTGTAGTGTTTTGTAGGTTGTGTTCAGTTCCTCTTTTCGTTGTTCATCCCTGCACTGCACTGCACTGCACGGGTTCATCTTCTGCTTCATCATCTTCCTCTCCCTCTCTATCAGCTTCCTGTGTGAGTGAGGATCCATTCCTTGTTTTGTCTTTTTCTTCCTTCCTAACACGGTTATGCAGGTTTCCTTCAATGTCTTTTCACAGAGTTCCAGTGTTTTTCCACGCAGGTTTTGTCTGCGATGTTGCTCAATGTCTCCGATTTTTTTCCTGATGTCTGACTGACGTGAAGTTGTCCTCAGTAGTTTTGTGCTTCAGTTCAGGTTGTGTTCTGGGTGCTGAAGTTGAACCATGGTCTGTCATAACCAGCTTCTGTGATGGCTTTCAACTTGATTTTGTAGGAGGGTTGCTTGTACTAGGTAATGAGTGGTGTGAAGCTACATCTGTTCCCCTTGATGATGTGATCTTGTGTGTCCAGTAGGCTGGCTGTGTCTCCACTTTCTTCACATTGAGATGAATTCGATGTGATTTTTAGTGTGTCCTGGTGTGTGGTCAGATGAAATGCATGTCGCTCGCTTTGTGAATATCCTTGTGTTTGTACACACTGTCTGGAATCACCAAATCGTTGAATGTGCAGAAGTCTGCAAACAGTTCTCCATTCTCATTCACTTCCTTGATTGCCTCTCGACCCATGATAAGTTCTGTTCCTGTGTTGTCCGCTCTCAGTTTGGCATTCATGCCACCCCACCAATTAGAATTTTGATGTCGCCAACTGGGGTGTGGTATTGTTCAGTACTGATTGCAGCTGTCTGTAGAATTCCTCCTTCTTCCCTTCATCTGCATTTTTTGTAGGTGCATAGCGTAGCAGTGTGATTGTGACTTTCCTTCCATTCCAGTTGAACCTTGCTGTTATGATCCTGGAGGAGATTGGTTCCCACTGCATGACAGCCTTCGAGGCTGTTGGAGACATCACGATAGCCACTCCATAACTCAGTGTGCTCATGGTTGTCGTCTGGGTGACAATATGGGAGTAGATTATTGATTCTCCAGTTAACAGTTTAGAGAGTCCACTTCCATTCCATCTGCTTTCGCAAATTACTAACAATTCAGTGTGATACCTTCTCATCTCCTTGGCAATCTGGGCAGCCTTGCTAGGTTTAAATATTGTGCGGACACTCCATGTCCCCACGTTTACTTTCGCTTTCATCGAGAGAAGATACATCAGCCAATTGGCTTCGTGAAGGCTTTCACCAACCGGCGTCATTTCGCCTCTACGATTCCAGCGAGGAATATTATTATTATTTGTCCCTTGGGTTCCTAGTGGAACATAGAGCTTCAGTAGCAGGTCTCCATTGCATTCTGTTCTCTCCAGTCATTCGAACCTAGCTCCACGACTGCCCACAAGCTTTTATTTCTTCCTCACACGACCTCCTCCATGTCACCTTTGGACTCCTAACTGGTCGTTTCCCCTTCGGATCCCATTCGAGGGCCTGGCCGTGATGTCTCCGCATGGTTTTCTCAGTGTATGCCTAACCCATCTTTTACTTTTATTGTTTATATTTTCTTCGTGCCTTGAAGTTTCTTTAGCGATTGGGTTGGCTTTACGTTGTAGGGTTGGTAGCCTTATGCTTAACCTTCCCTATTTATCCGGGCTTAGGACTGGCTAGTAACTAGTGTACTAGTTAACTAGGCGAGAGAAAGTAGTTGGTTATCGTAGCAGTTACTAAAGTGGTTCTCAATGTCACTCTTTTTATCTTACATCTAATACAATCGATGATTCATTTTATTTTACATCCAATAGTTCAAATAAATAATGGCAAGAAAAATTTCAGTCATTCGCAAAATAAAACACCCATACGGAAATAATTTTCTGCCATCGTTCACATTTAAATTCATAATGAAAAGAGGAATTATTTAACCGAAGGCTTTTCATAGACAGATTCACCTTCATGAACCTGAATAGAGAAAGAACAATGACTGGAGTGGAATAAAATGGCACCACTTTCTTTTGCTGGTTTCACATCAGCTGCTTACAACCTAAAACATTTAAGTATCATATTACAAACAAATTAGAACATACTTTTTTTCAATCACACAGAGTTAGTTAACAGGGAACAAGATGGTTAACAAAGAACACAAACATACAGATAAAGTTAACAAGGCATCCTATGAAGTTTCGGCTATATATGTGTCTCAATAGAGAGTTCAAGCGAAGAATATGATGAGTAATAATGGATTACGTAAGTAGGTTAACAAGTCGGTTGGTTGGTGATAAAGAACAGACAAATAAGTTAATGATGAAATGAGTTGAACTCGGTTGATAGAACGATTATTAAAATTATACACGAAAAGAAGAAGGTTTCAGTCAGAAGATGATATCATCATCAAATAAGAGGAAGAATAAAATATCAGGGCAAAGAAAAAACTGTCACTGCTTCTTTTGGAATAAACAGTTCAGTCATTTGATTACTATGATGGCCTCAGAGAAGTCGAGAAGGCTAGAATTATGTTGTTTGCTCATCACCTTGAAGAATGCTAAGATATTTTACTTCATGCTTTATGTCAACAAGATGCCAAGTGGCTGTACTACTGAAAGTACTTGTTCCCTTGAAACGCAGGTTTTTTGGTACATGTTCGAAAAAATCTAAGATATATCCCTTCTCTCTATCAGTTGATGAGAAACTGGCAAAATAATAAAACGATACACTCTTATTTTACTCTAGTCATTGTTCTTTCTCTATGAAAGCTGTTCTTTTTGAGAATATGTAACTACTTTTTCATTCACTACAACCTAGTACTAGGTTGTTTGAAGCAAAGTGGATAGAATGAAATTTAAGCTTGAGAAATTGTATACTTTGAGATAAGGCATCATCAAAAATAATGTTAGACAGAGAATGTACTTTTTCTTTGGTGTACATGCTGCCAAAGTAGTAATCAATTACGCTTCCCACATATGGTATCAGGTTTCTATATTCACCAGGATATTAACACAGTAACAATAAGCAGGATCAAAGATAGACTATAGGACAGATCATAATGTCAATAAGTGGTAGAAATGTCTTAATTCATCTTGTTACACTTTTTAATTAGAACAATAAGACGGAGATTGAAATAAATATATGAAAACCATAATGAATAAACATTTAATTGTTAGTTTTAGTTTTGCATACTCAATGACTATTGTAAACTAACTTTTTCATTCCATTTCATGTATCGATTTTTAGATTTTAGTTTTCTGAACATTAATAACATTACGATATCATAATAATTGATTTACAATGTGAAAATTACTTGTTATTGCATTACATAATTGATCAAATCAATGTCGATGATGATAGAGAATTAACTTGTAGTCTCTTCATCGTAGTTAAATTTACATAAGATAACTAATCAACACTGAAGACTGACTCAATCACCCCCTAGATAAATAATACTCGTTAGATATTTGAAAATTTTGCATTTAAATACCGAGAAACAGACAGTGTAGCTACTTCGAACAAGGTGCTAGGTTGGACAAGTCGAGATATAACTGGGTTTATTGAAAGAATGGTAACTAAATTTTTTTGTAAGCAGCTAAAGATTTTGTTTTAAGAAGTTGTCACAATGAGGAAAGACTGAAACATTTAGTTATTAAGTGTTGAAATAACTATATGATATCATATAATATACAAGGAATGCATAAAACAGTATGAGATTTTTATGATAGTAAGCTAACAGTTTCGCGCAGATTCTTATAAAGGTTGAATGTGATTAGGTCACTGCACGTTTTCAACCTGCATCATAATTAAAATGAGACTATATTACGTATAATTAATTTCCACAGGTGCAAACACCGATGATGTAACATGTTTTATCAGATGAAGTACTTATAGAAGGAAATGCTATTCACTACATATGGAAGATTTATACTTCATAGCGCAATTGATCAAAACATTATAGAATGGATACATATCAAGTATTATCTAACACAATACAATCAGACAGCATGAAAAACATAATACTTAGCTTTTATAAGCCAAAATTAACCTACAGGCATAGGGATTTTAGTCAACTCCTTTCCAATGCAATTTTTCATGATACTCCATAGATTCAAACTTATATTCGGTTTTGGAGGTATAGAAAGTCTTCTTATGATAGGTGAGCGTTTTGTTATCACATTTGGCTCGATATCATTTTGAGAACTGATATGATTGTCAGTTTTACCATCCTGAGAGATATCTTGTGTCATTTGACGGTCACCAGATGCAACTAAAGTCCCGGTTCGACTACATAGAGAAAGTAAGAAGTAATTAAACAGTAAAACCAAAGCATATATATCACAGTAACAAGCATTTAAATAAGGATAGCTTGATTTAAACATTCCAGAAAACACCTACACATTTTATTACCAATTATTAAAACTGTACTCAATAACCAGAAAAAAGTAAGTCAATCTCACATGTGCTACAATTTATGATCACATTACCTCCGGCATGTATTAACTCCTAAGTAAAATTGAATAACAATTTTAGTTGTCGTCTATTGTATTCAGCTATGTTTTGGTTAATCGTTAAACCAATTGCAAACTTTGTGAAAGAGAAGTGACAATGCATATTTAACACGAATGGTACATTACGATGCAAATGAATTAATGAATTTACACATACGATAATATTAAAGAGTATTAACGTTTTAATAATTTGAAGAAGAATCGTATAGTTTATGTTTAATGCATATGCTTGCCCAACCGAAATTTACAAACAACAGATTCATTCACTCATTCATTCAATGAAAAGCATCCATAAGCTTGTTACTTAAGTTCCCATAAGAAGAGACGGTAGAAGGGTGTAAAACAAACTATTTTTATCGTTAATTATCATAAACGCTGCTCGTCAGCAACGAATTTAATAATGTACCGTATAAAATCAAGGTATTAAGGAAGTTCCTGAGCTTATGTGACAATCCGCAACACTTACAGAAGAGTATATATATATATATATATATATATATATATATATATATATATATATATGCTGGCAGGTACGGATGAAACAAGTTTCCACCCAGATTCTTAATGTACGTAACTTTAGCTTAAGCACTTATCTACAGAGAGGATAGTGACGGAATTTCTAACTTGAACAACAATCCAAAGCTTTTAAAAAGGAATAATATCTTAGATGAATTTCTTTCTCATATAGTAAACACAGAAATGAAGTATATATTACTAGTTTTTCCGCTGATTTACATTTTGATCAAGTAAATTAAAAAAATTTGTTGTACAACCTTACCTTATTCACAATGCCTAAATATTAGAAAAGCTTGTATACTACTTTCCAGCTGTTCACACTATGTAAGTCTATTTCTTCTTGAGAGTTAGTGAGTGACCATAGAGCCCATAGGATATCTGCTTGAGACCGGTCACGAACGACGTTTTTGTGAATTTGAGACTTAAGTTTGCTGCTTTTGAATCCGACTATAAACTCAAATGACTGGAACCGGCATGTCGCGGAGGTAGTGGGTAGTCTGCCATTTTTGGGGTCCACCTTTCCTACTCCCGCTTCCAATAGGGAAGACAACATCAGCTTGACACTGCTGGTCATCCAAAGGAAATACCTAATTGCTATCGATCCCCCAACCAGCCAGCATTTCGACTTCGTCCATGGACCCCATCATAGTGAAGCAAATCACATCATAACGGTCACTGCTTTTTGTCCAACTACTATCCAACAGGTCTTTCTGGCATAGTAGGACCTCGAGGGAACAAGCGTCCCACCAATATAGCTCGTCTGGTCACTGTGATACGAAAGCCCGACCAACACGTGAAGCACCACCTACTAGTCAGGATTAGGAACACACACACCCATTCCAATCAAAATGTGATTTTAACAGAGAAGAAGAAGTGATGGAAAAGATTTGTAGGTTAAGATGATGATAACGGCTTGGTGTTACCAAGTTTACTGACACCTTCAGTAATAACTTGACACAGCACGTCACCAAACCTAGTGATGAGAAGTCTATGACAAAATATCAGAGCTTAGAGAAGAGGATAAGCGATGAAAAAATAATTCAACATTTCAATAACGTAGTAAAAGCAGACACGAAAGACCACTTGGTAACTGACATATTTGAGAAAGGCATTTAGCTATGGATATATAAGTTTTCTAGAAACAGCATCTTCACTTAAAATGCTTATCCAACTGATACCAGTTCATGATGACGATTACCTTCGAAATAGTTCCTGATATGGACTAATAGTTTGCCAGACTGAAACGAAACGTTAACATTATCATACGTGTGGATAGTTGTATGGTCTTATAATATGCTAAACAGTAACATCTGTCATAAATAAGATAGCTGAGTGAAATATTGTTCGACTGGGGCAAAGTTTTCGAATGGTTCATGCTTCCAGAAAATAACAATGCTTCCGAACTTAGAAAAGTTACAGCTTTTGTTTGAAACTTGATAATAATTAAAAGTTAAACAATGTGACGTTCAATACATCCATGCAACGGACTTAATCCACGTCATTCAACACTGTACTGAAGAATCAAACTGGTATAAGCATACTTATGACAAAAACAACAGCATTAAAAATTACATTACATGTGAAGATATTTGATACGATTCTTGGTATAGTTGGAAAAAGATCATCCAGAAATTATTTTAAGGACTATTTTAGTAAGGTCAAACATAAAGTATTAAAAAGTCGTTAAGTTATTGGGTTAATTATTCAACACTAACAGTGATCGGTTAGGTGAACTATTAAAAATGAATAAAGCCAATACAAAACTGGAATATCTTTAAGGAAATGAAGACGACCTATCATGAGGATATCCATAAACCAGAAATGCAGTGAAAGATTAAAACAGAGTACAATTGAGTACACAGTATATCTGTCTATTTTAGGTCAGAATGAAAACCCCATCAAACCACTTGATCAGGGTAAACTTGTGATACACTTCAACACGTTCAGTTCATTGATACGCCTTGTAGCCTTCTTTGTCATTCAGACTTCAATCCCGTTAGTCTATATTGTGTTTTCTAACTGACTGGTTTTCCTACTTTTAAGTTGACATGTTTGTTTATTCGTACAAAACCTTATGCTTTGATTGCAATATTTTAAGTCTTATTTATTCAGTTTAGCTGTTATTTAGTTCTTATTGGTCCCTTCGTTTCTGATTGCCATTGTAATTTCAGGGAAATTTCTCTTTGGAGTTGTTATAATGGAAGAATGGCTTCTTAATATGATAACTGTGTATTTTTTTCACGATACCAGATGTAAAATAAAGCTGAATATAGTTGTATTGAACTTCTGAGGTAAGCGCATGTCACTTTCACCTAGAACTTCAGTAAGTGGCTTCATAATTAGAGTGATTCTGAGGATATCACTGTTATGATTTGAACAATCTTTTGATTATAGGAGAGTTTTGGTGTTCTGATACTTACAGTTTTCCGTGACAGACAAACAAAATCAAAGTAGAACCTCACATAAAAGTACATTACCTCAAGTTGCCACACTTCATAGCAGCATGCAAAGAATAAGGGGATAGAAAAAGACTGATATCAAAGTAGATAAAAGTCTATGTGAAAACAAACAATTTGAAGATGAACGTTAGTGCAAATATTCAAGCCCTAAAATACGTCAAAGAGTGAATGCATCTGTGGGATTGTAATTGGTTCTCTGCTATGTCACCAAGACTTCAAAAGCACTCATTCCTATCGTTTCATGGACCCCAGGCAGCTAGTCTAAACCTTTCCACACAACTCAGATCGACAATGAAAGACTTCATCGACTGGTCCCACGTCTTGGTTTGGTCACCCTGAATCATCTTCCAATCTAATCTAACCTCTCCTAGGTATGGCATGTCGAGGTAGGCGGTGGCTCACTAAGCGCAACACAAGTAGAAGTCACCTCATTTGCTGAAGGTTCACGACCTCATCGATCGTATAATTTCTACTTGATTAGAATTAATAACAGTGGTGACGAAGAATACATTCAAACAGAACATTTCATGTTAATAAGAATGAAAACAAATTGAATTCATCAACATGAACACTAGAAAAATATATTTCACACTTATAAATACACACGCAGGTTCATAAGCACAGAGGAAATAATAATTGATAGAAATGTGATGACTACACATAAAACTATGTATTTTTTAATTTTTAATTTTTAATATTTTTTAGTTTAAGCACAAGTAGTGTGTATTTTACTGCATGAAGTAAATCAGTAAGTGTACTATTTCTACTGATATGCGATACGTCCAAATCTCTGGTCAACTGGATTTTATGCTCAACAAACTGCATATTATGTCCCCTAGTTGTAGTCAAGATCGGTGTGCCTACACAAGCAAATGTAGTAAGGGTGCAGCTACCTTGATCGATATCCAGTAGGGTATCCCTAATTGGATATGCCTCAGATTCTTTAATGATTACCTCAAGAGTATCGCTATCTTAGACATACGGAAAAATACCGTCTCAATAACATCATAAATATATATGTAACATTAGGTTGTAGTTAATTAGACTTACTAGGTTACTCTTAAGTACTGACAAAATTTGCAGCTCTCACACCTACTAACTCGTTTTGACTGCAAGTGGTGATTTTAATTAGCATGACTACAACTTACATGTGACTTTTTCACAAAATTGACAACACATATGGATGTCATAAATGAACTTAGGAGTCATCACTGACCTCAATAAGAACAAAACTCGTTAAAGAAATACACTGTTAAACTCATATCACACACAAAAAAGATTTTACAGACTGACACAAGAATACCATTTTTACAAACAATTCACATGACAATATACTTCAAGACACAGACTAGAGTACATTTGACAATGATGTCTTTGTTGGATAGCATGCTATCTCCAATTTTCCTCACGACATTCGTTGCCCTACTAGGAAAATATTTCTACGTTTTGATTGTATTTAATCTCATTCACTTGATGTACATGAGAAAAGGAAAGGTTATATAAATTAAAGGACAAGCCTAACTTTTAACGACTGAACTGCTTGATCAAGTTGGCAATTGCCCATCTGCACTCAATACATAACCAGAAGCCTTTATCATCTAGAAACTCTTCAAACATACGATCTCACTGGTAGTGAACATCTTATTAATGGAGGCTCTGGTAACTTCTATTTGAAACCAATTATCTATACATAAGATCATTAATGTTATCTCATACTGTAATTTCAGACCAAACCAAAGTTGTTTTCTTGAATTTAAGGAAGAAAAATGTTACGAGTGTCTCAAACCACTGAACTCTTCCTATAGTCAGGAACTAAATGGTATTCTAGGATTTCTATTCAACTAATGTATCTATGCATCATGAAATGCACTGACAAACATTTTCAATAAACTGTTTTCCAAGAACGCTTTACCTTAAGAAAATTTCAATAAAGCACTTAAATTGTTTATTGCGAAAATGCAACTGATGAAAGCAAAAATGCTAAACTTTACAATATGGTATCCATTTGTAAACAATTTCTTGCTCTGCACCTGATCCCACACTGTTCTTGCCTTTCATATATCGATCCAATATTGTGTATTCTTTTGCTCAATTCCCCATTCGTCGATCGCTATCACTTACGACGTTGCTATACATACTACTTATCTCCATTCAAGTAAGTAGCTGTCACAACATACATACTACGTGGGAAGATATGAAAATGGTCCTACTAACTAAGACTTCATCTTATAGAAGTAATTTGAAATTCAGATTGACTACAGCTAAGTCTCTATTCGTAAAAATAATGGAAAAACTATTACTGCTTGTTTATGGACCTTTATTGTAGACTATTAACGATTAGAATCAGTACGTATATAAACAGAGAAGCACTTTTTGATGCGTACACTGTTTTATGTCACAATGTTGTTTATAAACAGATGTACCAAGTACATACCCTCTTAGATACACTTCAACTTCTGATTCTGTTTCAGACATCACTTGTTGAAAAAGCCTGAGAAGACATATTGAGTACTGAATTACCAAACTGGTTGAATCCCTACTTCTCTGAAAGGAAGCGATACACTGTAAGTAGGGAGTAACGCTGCACTTGCTGAAGCTGATGTTTTCTAAGGCGGTTTTTTCACCCTTTTAAAAATCTTATTCTCTGTATGATAGTAATAATCAATTTATTTCCGCTGATAATCTGACAATCTCCTGTCAATCAGCTCACCAGATGGTGCTCTCAAAAAATGAGTTTTTATCTACCACTGAACGATGGTCCTTCCAGAATGGTGCTATACCAGCCGAAAAGTGGATAAGGTGAATCTCAGATGGGTGTCATTGGTCGCATTACTTTTATCTCTCTTAAAAGTCATTGTATTTACGATTGGACTGATGACACTGTGGTATAGTTAGATTCAAGAGCCTTCGACTGATATCCTATCCACCTATATATAACTTATACTTCGAAATAATTCCATGTTGAATGAAATCAATCAATTATTATGCATTATTTTACTTAAAATGGAGTGTTTCATATTTATAAACTATGGTGCATTGTGGTCAAGTAGTTTGGTCTTATATGCAGATGAATAAGATCATCTAAAACATACAGAAAATAAGCACAAAGTTATCTGAGAATTGTGGTGTTTTTGTGCAATACATTTTGAACAATCTGGTTGCACATTTATCAAGGCATTTTACATGAATGGTGGAAATAGGGTGGGGTAAGATAAATAAATTAATTAAAAATAATTAGTCTACCAAACTACGGCTATCTCAGATGGTCAAAGTGATAATCAATATGATGGTCCCCCCTCTCTCTAATTATGTTAGATTGGGATGAGAAGTTCTGACTAGGCAGTAAGTGTCAGTACGAACAAGCGATAATAAAGCATCACAAATTCACATGGTAGTCGGGTAAAACCCCACTTATGATTGAAGTGAAATAAAATTCTGGTCAGCAGCCAGACTTCGTAGCTTAGTTGGTACAGTAACGGGCTGGAAACCCAGTGATCGCTGGTCTGAATCCGGCCGCGGTCCACATTTTCATTTTACCTTCAATCATCACCAAGCATCAATACTAGTCTGCCAAACCACGGCTATCTCAGATAGTCACAATGAAAATTTTGGAAAATAAAGAGAATAAGGGGAAATAAGCCTACCTTGGTAATCTTTATCTCACTTTAATAACAAGAAACATGCCGAAATGCATTATTCCTCCTTATCATTCTTATTTTGTCCAAATCTTGTATTGTCCTAATCTATTTATCTTACCCCACCCTATTTTCACCTTTCATATAAAAATCCCTTGACAAATTAAACGTGTGACCAGATTGATCGGAATGTATTGCGCAAGTAAACCGAATTTCACAGATAACCTTTTCTTTTTATTACATTACTCAAATTCATCAAAGGGACTAATCATTTCAAATAAGCATTAGACCTTGTGTTCTGCTGAGCGTGGTTGGCAGGGCTGAATCGCGTAACTTATCATGTGGGTCTATTGAGTATACGAGAATAGGCAACTATATTTGGGACCAATTACCTGCAAGGTCAATGCTGGAACTGAATCGCCAGTCAGGTGCTCAGGACAATTACAACCAGGCAAAGTTATTACAAATCGCTTTATGCTTGCTCCATCACAATGTCATATTATTAGCCTCAGATGTGAACAAGATTTATATAACCTGTTTCGGTCCCATAAAGTGCGTTTTATTGACGACTCTATTTTAGAGAATATACCAACTGTGATCATAGTTTTTGCTTTTCTTCTTCTTCTCTCTCTTGAACCCTGTTTAGCTTACTGATTGCGAAAACATCTCCGGTTTAACTTACAATGTACTACAGCTGCTAGTTTCTGGAATAACTTCGTTTTTACTCCTACATCTTATTGATTCCTATATTTCGCCTAGTCTTCAGTTCTCTTCCTCTTTATTTTTTCTCATACTCTTGGAAAATAACTACGCTGTGTTGCATAAGACTTCGAAAATCGTTAGAATGCTTAGTAGTGCATCTCTAACTCTTCACATAAACACCATTATAGAGAGACATTGTAATTCATGTGAAAAACTGGTATATGGTATAGGATTCTCTTTATTCATAGCCTTCTACTTGTCAGTTCCCACGAGTAAAACCAAGAACAAGCATACAGGACTATGTGAGTACAACTTATTACTAAAAAAACTACTACACCTTAACTAATCTAGCTCGCGTCCTAAACGAAGAGGAAAGTTTTGAAAACGAAATTACTGATCTACTTCCTCAGAGTAAATTAATTATTGCTTATATATTTGCCGACATCTACGCATTAGGATCTAATTACTGTGAATACCATTAGAGAAGGTAGGCATTTCCTTCTTCTGAAAAATTCACATGTAATAAACTATTTTTGTCTGTTGAGAGATTATACGTTATATTTCATATCAAATTATTTTTTAGAATAAAGCGATTACTACCATTAGTATTACAGGAAACAATGAATAGAAGACTACAGAACCCATACAGTCACTTTAACCAGTTGCATCATTAGTATTCAGAAGAATAACATCAATGAAGAGTCTTTACTATCTGTTTGTGGGGTGGAGGCGAACAGTAAGAAGCCTTGAACCTAGGTTTCGTGCTTTTTGGCGCTCATCAGCAAGGCGTATCTGCAAACACTACGAAACCGATGTCCGGTTTGAGATTCGAACTCATGTCACTCATTTCTGGAGTCATAGGCGTTACCACTGAGCTGTTCGGGCCGCTACTGAACTTTTGTAGGACTGAATTAGGTACACTGATTGGTGACAGGGGGGAACCAACTACTACCGGTATATCACTAACAAGCATTAAGAGGATTGAAGCTACAGCCGGTTTAAATACTAGAATTGGACTCCATAGCCACTAAGTTAAACACAACCATGCTGATACTACCGGTCATCATCTTTTATTGGAACTGATTGGGTAAATCACACACATATGTACATTTCTGAATTCAGATGGAAGTTGACAAGTAACATGAATGTGATTAGGAGATACAGAAAGGAAGAAAGAAGACTACTGAATGAAATAAAGATTAGGACGTATATTGGTTCTATCATCACATAGATATTTCATTAAAGATGAGTTTGTAAGTAAGTACTATTGCTTGACAGGAAGAGTTTGATGCATAGCCTGCCTAGTCATACACTATCTGATGGGGTGAGTTGATAGTTGGACATACCCTTATATAAGAAACTCCAGACGAGATCATATCAATCAATCACTAAAACCAAATATAACTACCGTTAGCTATTTTGCTTGCAACTCTACACAAGTTTTTTGATTGACAACATACCAGAACAGAATACCTAACACTATCATAAAAACGAAGATTGCCTGACGAAATTTTCATTTTTTTAAATGCATAATTATGTCAAAATTAACTTCCCCAAATTATTTCTTTCACAAAGGGGATAGGATGATGGAAAAAATTCACTCCAGTAGAGTATGCAAGAAAACTGTCACGATCACAGGTGATGATAAGTTTTTGACACGCTAGAATAAACAGCGACACATCCTAAGATTAGACAGTTATAAAGTGGCGATGTTATATATATATATATATATATATATATATATATATATATATATATATATATATATATATATATATATATATTCTCATTACATGGCACACAAGTGTTCGTGTATACTAAATGCACATCCAAATGCACTAGGAGTAAAAATGAATTTCTGCATGAAAATAAGTTAGATTTACGGTGAAGATTTATTCTGTCGCAATAATCCGACAGAAAAAACAGTGGGAGACGATATCTATAACTTTAGTCTTAATAATACCACAGTTTCATACCCTCATTATTCTCAAATTTCAAATATATACAAGCATATAATCGACAAATAAGTTAATAGTTTATTACCTGTCACACTGTCGTCCACGTGGTTGGATAACACGCGCCTCGCGGAGCTTTCTGAACTGATTTGACTGTGAACTACGATCATTATATTCGTCTCCTTCATCATCTGTGAAGCCAACATCAGATTCGTACTCATCAGCTAACTCAGATCCAGTAGGTATCAAAGAATCATCATCTTGAGAGCCACCTAGGCATGTATGATGGTCACTAGATTTATTATCAGACAGATTCCTAAACCCTTTACTGGAGTTTTTATTTTCACTATTTTTTGTTTCATTCACTGAAAGTTCTGGTAATGTTATTGAAAACTCGGCATTTGCCTCCTCCGCATCGTAGAAATCCTCGTCAGAACTATCTTCCATAGGGTGATGAGAGAAATGTTGATGAGAAACTTCTCTGGGGTGAGTTGGGTGATACGAAGATTCTGCCAGGCCTTTACATTCAGTTGTAGCTTTTGAGGACTTATTGTAACCAACATTCGAGTCTTCTTTATTAGCACTAAGTGTTTCAGTTTCTTGGAAAATGATAGACGGATCAGTAGGGTTTTCTTCTGGATGAGATATTTCCATACTTGAAAAGTGTTGTACGCGAACTGCTTGGCCAGGAGGTCGACAAATAGTCTTATTGTTAAAAGATGAATTGAAGGATCCACCTGATTTTTTAAGGTAGAATGAAAAATGAATTTTCAAAGAACGAATAGTAAACGGAAATAAAAATGAAAGGTTGAATATTTTAAAGTTGTTTCTTACTAAACACTTTACTTACACCAATAAAACTGGATAAAACCAAGTTATGTGGATAATTCAGGCATCAGTAGCCCTGAAAAATAGACAATGAGTAAAAGACAAGTTTTAAAAAGTCAAAATAATGCTATGTAATCTTAGATTGACTACTACTTGTCATTTGGCAGTAGCTGACATTATTGTTATCTCAATCCCATCCTTTGTAGGACAGTAACTTAACTACATTAATTGATTTTCAACTATCGAATACAGTTATTTGGTCAAGGGTTTGAACTTCGGATGCCTATACAGCTGGTTTTTCAGAGAGAACGGTCAATATTCGACTACACTGGGTCGATAGTACAAAGGGCACGGGTTAAGTATCACAGTATGCCAGATTATTAAGTCATAGCAACAACTGTAATCTTAGCTCCACTTATGTTTATGTGTAACTCCAGGTTTTCGATCATTCTATAGTAACCACCACAAAACAGTGGTAATTTTAAGTTAAACCAAACAATAGCCCATCCGAAATCATCGTAAGTTTTTAGTAAGTAACTACGACTTGAATATCGTTCCTGGTGGCTTCTAGATGTTAAGTGGAAGGTATTAACAAAAACTGTGCTCTTTTCAACAGGAATAAATTGAATCAATAATAGTAATTCACAAAAGTAATCAAAATAAGTAACTTATAGCACATAAATGGTTAATGCAGCCGCCAGACCATGTAATTCTGTAATGATCAACTGATAATGAAATATGATCTAAAGGATTTGAGAGGTTTTAGGTACAAAGAAGAACTTTCCAATCAGTAAAGATGTATGAAGAATACTAACAAAGGGATAGTAAAGAATTCCTGGAGATTGCTTAGCTTATCATACGAAAAGTGAAATAAACATTGCAAACTCCAAACATACTCTTAAGTCACAACATTTTACTGGAAATTACCATATAATTTTCAAATTTTACAGCTCCATTTAAAAAACTATTGTCAATGAATGGATATGGAATTTTCAGCACTATTAACACTGAACAGTAATTTCTATTGGTCAAAGTAGCCTAGGACATGGAAATTTCTTTCATAAACAAAGGCTGGACTCAACAATAATGTTAGTAAATAACTAAGTACATAGAGTCATATGAGTACGAAATACAGAAGTTGGGAACATGAATCACTGAAATCCGCCGACCCAATGGTAACCTGCTGGTCACGGAACATAATGGCCCTGGTCTTCACTCCTGGTGGGGTGGGGTTATGGGTGCGCACTGCTGAGGAGTCCCATGCCAGGGTGAAACAGCTGTTTAGTGCTTCCAGGTTTCCAATTTTCCTCCAACCGATGTCAGTCCACGATGAACACCAAATTCAAAATACAACTCAGTTGAAACTATACATCCCGCTAAATACATCAATACTGCTGTAATTGGATTTGGAAGTCAAATATCATAGGAGGTTCCACATTTTGATTTAACTAAACTGAGGCCTCTACAGTAACTTTTTGATTAAACATAGGAGCGAGCTGATACAGATCTACATGGAATTTTTCAATCCTTAATCTGCCTTCAAGCCATATCAACCAATAAAAACTAAATTATGTTTTATTATCTAAAAACTCACAGTGAACTTCAACATGACTAACTCAGTTGATAGGATAAATTTAACCTACTGGTATCTTGCACTTTTAATCTTCATTTATTGTAGTCATGTGGTAGAGCAATATACCGGCACATACATTTCCTACCGAAACTGCACAGATATAAAGACATTATGTTAGTCCTGAAATTCACGTGTTAAGTGAACGTTCCATATCCAAGATGTTATTTTTTTATTGGTCCCCAACTTCAAGCACTTCCGATGCAACTCAATACAACTGAAGTAGAATGATACTGAATCGGAATAATAACGTAAATAATTCAATGCGAAATAATCACTTGAGACATTCATAAGTCTTTGAAAGTTTATGACATAACCAATCGTTTAAGTGACTCTTTCAATCACTGAATACGTTAAATATTTCAGTATTGTTTGTTTCTATTCTTTGAAATCCCATGATACAAGCAATTCTGCTAATCACAAGTTATGAACGTCTATGATTTCGATGGTCTCTTTAAGTTAGAATTGGTTTGGTAATTTTGAATTGTAATACAATTAATCCAACCATATTATCAAACACTTTTGTTTTCAAAGTGGTATATTTGGAAAAATGGTTTGACCTTACTTCACAACATAACAGAATAAAGTAACTATTCGATTAATTTTAACATACTTGCATACAAATTAAAGTATGGCTATGTGGCATACTAAAATGGTTCCATTATCGTCCACCATAACCATCGACAGAGGAAAAAAGGTCTGAAGTGATAAACTTAGCTTGTAAAACTAGGGTTGCAACAGATTGGGTGGTATGTGATTAGTGAGTTGATCTTGACAATGAATGCATAACATAGTGGTATCATTATTATTGTTACACCAGGTACTTCATAATGTCTAGGTGACTGACTAGTCACAAAAGAAAATCATGTGGACAGGAAGTTTGGCGTTAAGCAAGACCAAGATAGACAACAAATGACCTGAAATAGGTGCGTAAAATTCCAAGTTGACATACTATATACCAGCATAAGGAGACAGAATTCAGTAGGAGGAAAGATAACGAAATAAAAATAATAACATTATAAGTCGCAACAAGCCACCAGGTGGTAGGAAAGCAAAATAAAAATTATCACACGACAAAAGGATTTTGAGGATAAAGTTGACAAAAAGGAGTATATGAATCAGCACCAGTGAGACTAAATCTTTAGCACACTTTCTGAAACCTCAAGCATTCATTTCTACAGTTTAACAGGCACTAATCAGAAAACCCATAGTACAGAGAGTCCGAAGGCGGTCAGATTTTAATTTGCTCATCCTAATCTTTTTATAGGCACTAAAACCTATCCATTGACTAGACTAAACTGATGTAGATGGTTTCACACACTTGCTTAAGCTTTCCCTCAAGCTAAACAAGGTTGACTAGACTTCATATAGTGCCTACTGGAATGCGTTCCCATGCATCCATTTATTTAGAAAAGGTTGACATTAATCTTTTCTATCTCCCCGCAACTCTCACTTATAGTTTCTACTACTTAGTCCGACAAAATATTGGGGATAGACCACATTTTTGAGGGATGAGTAACAGTGTCAATTCCTACTAATGAAAGAAACGAGAAGACTGAGATGCAGGAAGGAATGTTTATCATTAACATCTTGTACAGTAGTCATCAAATATTGTACATCTTGCACCAAGACAGTCATTTGCATAATGTGCTTCATTTCCTCTTCTGCTTTTATCTTGATTTGTTCTTAATACATCCACAATATCTCTTGCGTTTCTCTGAGCAGAATCTTTACCCACTGCTGGTAATTCCCTATGATCCCTGCCGCCCTCTCAACATATACTACTTATATCCATCCTGATCAGCAACGTCCACTACACTAAGTGTCTTATTAATTTCATCTCATATACGGTCGTAATATTCTCGTCTATGAGTCAAGTTTGAAAAGGTTACCTAGTTATACTTCTTGGGATAAACTTATGGATAGTGTTCATGCATTTGGGTGCAAAAAAAGGTGACAACCTATCTAGTGCTAACTAATGGTGGCATGATTTACCTGAACTCATCATCGGTTTCAAACTATTAGCCAGCAGGTGGGAAAATCTCTAAAATTCATGATCGTGCGGAATAATCAGTTATCACTTTAGGTTATTTCTTTTGCGATCTCGAAATTAAATTCAGGAACACTTTTTATATACCGCTTCTACCACGAAATTTGAATGTTTATAGGAGACTATACAGCTTTTTATGGAAAGTATATTTCGCCTCATACGAAAAGCAATCGCCGTATATGTTGTCTGACACTGCAGAAATATTGACACGTATTGTATAACTGCCAAATTCTTGCTTTATCATTCAATCAGGTGACACAAATGGCTGTTAACAGGGACTCAAACTAGAAGCATTTTTTGCACCTCATGACTTAATGCTCTACCTGAAGCTAAAATGTAATGTGAATAGTACAAATTTACTATGAGGGCCAAATATGGCATGTATCTTTTGAAAATACGACATATGTACATAGTCTAAACTTCCAGTTTTGACCAGTGATATTAAGTTTGGACACTGGATGCACCAACATGTCCGGAACATAATTTAGGAGACTAATTAAGGAGCTCAAGCTGTTACCAAGGTCTGCAGAGTTTGAAGAAATTGAAATTGTTGCAAATTCCTAATCATTTACATTGTGTATTACTTTGATGTAAGCATAGAGACTGAAGGATATCCTCTTAGTATCATTCACTAAAAAGTTTCCCGAAAGTGTTGATATGTGAAGAGTTACACGCATTTCTTTAAGAGCATAACAGAAAGTTCAGAGGTGAAGCACAATGCACTTTTCTAAACAACCTTACATACAGTGAAACAGCACCGTGACAGTAGATGCTTTTAGTTCAGCTAGTATCCTGATCGATGTTCTTGGCATTGTTAGAAATGAAATAACAAACATCTTAACCATATCCGAGGATAATCCTCACATCAAAGCTGTAGTCATCGATCGAGACTATTGTTTAGATTATCCTCCGAATTCATTTACTATCCAACTGGTGAAAACGTTGTACCCAATCCAACTCAGCATCTTTATCAGTCATCTGTAACAAACGCAATTTAGTTGCCTCTTAAATATATATCATTGAGGTTCAGTGGACAGATGACAATGGAGAAAGAAAAAGCAAATGAAAAAAAAAGGTGAAAGAAAATCATCCCATTTTTATCGGTCGATAAGTCTTTGTCAGAGTGACCCAACCAAAAGTACACAAACATGATAAACAGGTACATATACATATATGAAGAAAGGTCGGAAGCAATTACAACCAAAAATAAATAATTGTATAAATTATCA